ACTAAAAGCTAGCTTTTTATTCTGCAGGTTATCAGCAGGATCTTTTTGATGTTCACTTAAATGTTCATAAATGTTTAGATCAGATTATAATCACGCAAAGCATCTTCTTGAGACTAAAATCAAACCATTAATTTAAAATAGTGGAGGGCATTTACCAATGCAGCTGTATTTATTGTTGTTTCATCCTCTTATTGTTATTCTTTACAAGCTTATTTGTTGAAATGATATCATACTGACAGGCGTCATATTGGGGAAAAGTGGGATTGAGTACCCATGGCCCTTTTGGAGGAAGGGGCCCTTTTGGTTCCTAAATAGTTTTTGGATGAATTTGTTCCTCTCAAAGTAATAACTGTCATGGTAAATTGAAAACTGGAAGACTAAATGAACATGATAGAATGTTTTCTTAACTCTTAAAATGAAGATGAAGAAAATTGTAAAAACCTTTTAGACGCTTAAAAACTCTTCAAATGCCAAATATGTGCGTAAAGTGTGTATCCTGGTTTCATCCAGAGGTGTTGTTTGGTTTAAACTGCAATAGACTTTAAATGGTTGTAACACAAAGTTATTTAAAGTTGTCACAATACTGAATTTAATCTTTGGTACAACATTAGTAAAAGTGTTACGATATTGTTCCCTGTTTTAACACAACAGCAACAACAACAAAAAAGTCCAATGATGCAATATTCAGCAAAGTCTTGCTTTTAATGACAGTATATTGCAACCACTTCCTTTCGATGTAACTTTGCCAATGTGTTTGTGCAATTTAGTCAGTGTGTAGGTGTCTGACATTTTGGACTAATTCCTTTCTCACACGTCTTCCAATGAAGTAGACATGTTGTTTTTTTAAGCTTCAGCACGTCGTAAGAATATATCATTAAAATAATGTTGATTGTTTTTCTTTTAAATGAATCTATTAACCTCTTAATGGGTCATTTGTGTAATGGAGGTGTTACAGCAATATCGCAGGGCGTGCTATATGGAGGAAGGGCCCAATGTGATATCTTTTCATGGGGCCCAGAAATCCGTCATACGTACTAAACTCATTAAGACATACAAAAGCTGTGTGTGGTGTTTTTCACAAAACGTCTGGGACTTTTTTCACAATTTAAAAAAAAAATGCACTCAAAAAGATTGACTGAAGTTCCACATATGGAGTAAGAAAAAAGCAGCAGTTGTGTATGTGTGCTGGCGAGGGTTGCCTACGTGTGACACAACCCCGGCCACCTGTAAAGTGTCTCTGAGGATCAGGTTTCTTTTGAACACTTTTAAGACGACATTTGTTTCCAATAGTTTACAGTTTGTGAAAACGCCCGTTCCGGAAGGCTGGAGTGATGCTTCCCAGTTTAGTTTTTGCGGGCCGGCGTTTTATAAACCTCCTGAAGGGCTGCCGGACAGACGAGGGAGAAGCAGTGCGTGCCTTTTTAAGAGCCTCTGACGGCTTTAGTGAGCCACTTGGCTTTTTATTTTGGCTCAGCTCGCTGCAGGCTGCTTGTACTTTACTGTGCCCCCTCTGTGCTGGCCTGGTGGTTTGCAGATTAAGGACATGCAGAGCCAGAGTCACTCATTACACCAGTGTACACATGCTTATTATGTGTGGTGTTTACTGTGTGTGTGTGTGTGTGTGTGTGTGTGTGTGTGTGTGTGTGTGTGTGTGTGTGTGCCTTCACATATATTAGTGTGTCAGGAGCAGTGCTGATGAGTGACGCCAGTTGCGGCCTGCTGTGTGTAGCTTCCAGCTGATAAATGACTGCAGGGACCGTCTTTCTTTACCTGAACCTCACAACAGTCTCCCCGGAGAGCAGCAGCTGACAAATATGCTAACCCGAAAAAGCAGGCCTTCAAGACACCCGTTTCATTCTGAATATGAGTTTAACCTGTTTAAAGTTACTCAAGTTCAAACAATAGCAGCTTTCAAATGATGAACAGGACTGTGCTGCTGTTCCCGCTTGTGTTTGGAGACCGTCCCTAGTGATCCTTTTCTCCCAGCAAACTAATATGTTTGAAGCTCAGGCTGCGGTTGCCAAGCATGCGCCAAAAGCTATTTCAAACGTGCAAAAAAATATTGATATTCTCAGCTTCTAAAAACAAAACAAAAACAAACTGAGAAGAAAAAAAAATCCAAGTCAATGTCCTCTGGAACGGCCCCATTTTTCTGCCTCAGAACACTCTGATATCACCTGGGACAGATGATGAGCTGAGAGATTATTCTGCTATTCCTTCATCCACTGCCTTTAATCTGCACACGCAACACATTCCCACAAACATGCGCTATGCTTATATGGTACCTTAGAGTCATGAAGTCTTTCAACTCAAACTTTATTTAAAGAATGAGAGCAGGACTTCCTCCATCTCAAGAAGTGAGCGCGGTGCTAATTCACAGAAAGTGCAGAGACTTTCTGCAGTAGAATTTAATTTTAAAATCACTTACAATGATATGAGAGTTGATTTATCATCTGTACAACGCCCTCCATGTCCTCGTCTGATTGTCAAATTTGTTTTTGAAATATTTAATACATTTAAACTCTTAGTGTACTCAAATATGTATTCATGACTGTGTGTATGATCAGAAGTGGCTTAATCCTTTGACCTACACATTTAAAAAGCTCATGTCTCATGTGAAATTTTAAAGGACTCATCAGTAAAAGCAAGCTGTAGTGAAGACTTTTCACCACAAGATGGACTTAGGGATGCATGGATTTGGGATGTAAAGCAAACAAAAAGGGAAAAGCTGCTTGCTTTCAAACTTTGCCCAAATATATATCTTTATCATAAAGACCAACGTGCAGAGAGCATGTACATAAATCTCTACACTCTGTAGCAGCGGAGTCAATGAGAAGGGGGCAAATCTAGCCAAACAACTTGTATATTAATTCCAGATATTTACTTTTGTTTGTTTTCACTATGTTCAGGGCTCCATGGGAGCAATTTTAGCTGTGATGAAACTGAAAAGCAGTCCCTGTGGAGTTCATTACAGGGAGAGAGCCAATGCCCACCCCCACTGCTCCCCGGCCAACAGGGATTTGGAGGACCCAAAGGGATGGCTTAGTTTGGAGGGTGGAGAGGAGAGAACCTACAGTATGAAGGGAGGATGTAGCAGGAGGAAGGGAAGCGGGGCCCTCAAGGGAAGGAGACCATAAACACTCAGCTAATGACCTCAAACACACGAACAACACAGCAGAAATTAATGGAACTGCACAAATGGAGGTATTCCCTCCGTGAGCATAGGGCAGAATGTTTTCTTTCTTTAAACTGGGAGACAAAAATGAGAGAGAGAGAGAGAGAGAGAGAGAGAGAGAGAGAGAGAGAGAGAGAGAGTTTTGTAGAAAAGAGAACACCTTTCTTATGTCGTCATTAAACATAGCTCCTTTCGGGTACAAGGCCAGGCTATGATTCTTTTTGTTGGCCTGTAAGTTTTAAAGGAGGAGAGAGTTGGCAAGAGACAGAGAGAGTTATGTTCTCTTTGCTTTCTGTTTGCTTTTCATGTTTCAAATCTTAAGTCATTGTACTGTAAATCTGTTCAGTCCCAGAAAGATTACATCAGATATACTTAATGTCCAAAAAACCCACACTAGCCTGAGAGGAGCCTTGAAATCAACAGAACCTGTAGATCTTCTCTTTACTGTCACAAAGCTTTAAACCAGAAATGCACAGAGCATTTAAAAGCCTGATCTGTCACAGTAGCGCTAGTCCTAAAATAACGGGCACAATTGCTCTGAAATGCAATGTTCCTCCTTCTTTTGAGGGTTTCATCAACGATGCCAGAAGTAGGGGCCGCCTGCGTTGTTGGTACATAGACACTGGTAAGGCTGCACAGCTAATCACAGACAAAAAGGGGCAGCTGGATTGTTCTGGAGCCAAAGTGAACAATACTTGGATGCAAAGTGGTTCCAAAAAAACACTGTGACTGTGGGAGGCTGTGTCTCAGTGGTTGAGTTGGTTGTCTCTCAATCAGAAGGTCTAGGGGTTCGATCCCCCGATCCTGCAGCCACAAGTGTCCCCTGCCAAGACACTGAACCCAAGTGGCCGGTGTTGTGCAAATGCGTATGAATCCGTTTACTTAATACTGATAGGTACTTTACAGAGCAGCCTCTGCCATTATAGTGTGAATGCGGTGTGAATTGGCTGCAACGTTGGAATGCAACGATTCACTGAACTCACGATACGATGCACGATACGATGCACGATACGATGCACGATACGATTCTCTCACGATTTATTTTACAAAATGAGACTGAAGACAAATTATGAAAAAATATTATAAAATGATTAAAACTCCAAAATACTGTATTATTTTCTCTCATCTTTCATTGCCAACTTAAAGAATCCCCTTATAAACTATGCAAAACCATGCAATTGAATTCTAAAACAAATCCAAAAATAAATAAATAAAGGAATAATACCAATAAAGAACAAACCATTAAAACACTGGCTCTAAAGTAAATTTATCTTCTTTTCAAAAGTGCAACTGAAAATATATGTTTTTTATTGAACAAATCCCAAATCAAAAGAATAATACAAATAAACAAACTATGGCTTTCTTTCTCTCTCTCTATTTTCTCCCTCTCCTTTCTTTTCCCCTCCTAGCTAGGATTTTACAGAAATATCAGCATATCTAAAATCTTAGGGATAAGCTGAGATTTCTGGATATTCACAATGTCCCCTGCTATTGAAAACCTCTCACTAGGGACAGAGCTGGATGGTGTGGAGTGTTGAAAGATCAGAAAGAGTTGTGCAATTGTTGAATTTGTTTTTATTATATCTGTGTTCGTTTCTTTTATTATAATTTAATCCATTTATAGTCATAACTACTTTCTTTGTTTTTACATATCCTGTCAATCATAATGCAGTGTATCTGCATGCATCCATGGCGCCTATGCACCTGTGAGGTCAGGATAAATTTGCTATATAGCAAAACCACACACACCTCGTGGGTGTATAACGCTTCTGCGTATCTGCATGGTTCACAGTCTTCAAGCTAAAACCACATATGAACTTGTTATCTACTGTGGATGTATCACGCTTCTGCGAATCCTCAGATGTCTACACGATCAGGTTTGCACTTTTGAACTTGTATTTTACTTTTATTTTTTACATTTTTATATTTTTACTTTTACTGATTTGTATTTGAGATTTTTACCTTTTGAAGTTTTTACAATAAATGTTCTGAAACTTTTTTAAAACCATTTTCTGACTGAAATCACTCACACCACAAAGACCTGAGCCTCTCTTAAAGACGCCGCGTGAACCTTGGGAGGTAAGCACGAGCAGACACACCACAGCACACTTCTACTGACTTTACACCAGACATGTAACAGGAGAGACATGCATTAGCGAGAAGGGAAAACAATGGGTACGGCAGAGCTTTTTCTTTCCACGACTTGTGCGGGCAGCTTGTGAGGGGAATGGATGTTTCATTTTTTTTACATATTCAATTCTGCATCAATGCCTCGGCTAGAATGTGCTGCGTCGGTGAAAGTCACTCCAAGGAGGTCTTCCAAGGCCGTCCTCTTGGGAGAAGGTTGTGGCAGCTCATCTCCAGCTGTGTCTGTCAGGTCAACAGGCTGTACTGCTGCAGGTGTACGGCTATCCTCATCTGTTTCCTCCACAGTAAAATGGGACTGTAAATAGCAGAGACAGAAAAGAAGCAACAGTTACATAGCATAACATAGGCAATAACAATTAACCACGTCATTAAAAATCAAAGTACACATTCAGAGAAAGAGAGTAAAATAAATACCTGGTGGTGCAACTGCAAAGCTTTGTCCTTCAGCCTGTGGAAAACAATCAGCCGCTAGTCTTCCTCTAGGTGAGGCAGACTTGGAATCTGGGGTCCAATGCAGTGCACTCCAAGTTACATTCCCCCAGTGTATCTGTCTGAAAGGTTGTTGAGTATAGCTCTCTTCATGTTGCCCACAGTGAGGGAGTCTGATCATAAGCTTTAAGGGCTCAATGAGACAGAGTTTGGATTTTTTTTGTCGCACAGCACAGTCATGGCTTTTTTCAGAGGTTTCAGAAGCCTCACAATGTCCTTAGCATCACTGATGTCAGAGCGTGATGGGATGCGTGTGTTGTCAAAAGCCTAAATCCATCATTTTTAACTACGAAAAACGGCCTCATATCTTTTGCCATGAAAACACCAATGCACTTAGTAATCTCTTTGGCTTTTGCACTCAGGCGAGCGGGTTTGCAAACCCGCTTCTCAGTGTGGTTTGGCCTTTTAATGTTTTTGTTTTTTTCTCACAACAAGGGAAGATGACTTGAGCTTCTCATGATGTCGTGTTAAATGCAGCATCATGTTGGTTGTGCTATTTGTGTAGTTCCCCGTTTTTTGTCTACTCACGTCTTTTGACTTGGGGAAGCCAAAATGCTTCCACACTTACGATTTAAAAGACGTTGGTGCGTCTTCAATTTCAAAATCTTGAAATCTTGCTCCACTGTTTAAGGTGTAGACTAATGCAATTTTTAGATAACTGTGTGAGACAGGTGGCTATAGCTAGCTGCTTCATGTCACACCCAAGCAGCAACCTGAGAAAAATTAAGCCGATGCAGAAGAGCAAAATCCTGCGGTTCATCCAGTGAGTGAGTGTCCACTTGAGGCTGGCTGCAGGAGCACTGGAAATCACATACACACCCATTCAAAAAAGCCTGTTTTTACAGCAGAAATTAACATGTTGACAGCATGGTTCAAAAACAAAGTTGCTCTCATTAGCTCATGTCTCGATCAGCACACACTGTATGTGGGGGTGAATTTTGTGTTAACTTTTATGAATAATAAGTGTTTTTCACAATAAGGCGTGTATAGCTGACCTGATTGACAGGTGGGCTCGATATGATGTTTTGTCAAGAGGCTTAAAACCTGCCTCAGCTCCAGCTCTCAGCCTGGTGTTGGGTTGACTGAAAGTTAGACTGGGACAGCATTTTTATGGCTTCCAAAGCCCTCTGCAGTAACAAATGGGTGACATCACTCAGGCCTCATCCATTAATATTTTCAGTCTATGGTTACCCGAGCTAACTTGAGTCAGTAAATTACCTCTTGGTCCTGATTGTGTTGTTTGTATATATTCATGCACATATTGAGCAAAAACTATGAAATAATACCATCATTTTTATTTTTTACAGTTTATTATCCCTAATAAAAAATGGCAAAAATCCAAACAGTCCGCTGACCTCAATGACTACAAGCAAAGACATGTCTCATTCTCCTCCAGCCTGAAAACGGCCAAGACAACATAATATCAGAACAAGATATGCAAAGCCACAGATACAAGAAAAATGTTTTCTGCTTTTAACTCACTGCTTCAAGCAGCTCCTCCTCCACCCTCCGATCTGTTCACACCAGACATGTTTGCCTCGTATTGCCTGCAGAGTCATTTTGTACCTTTAAGAAAAAACTAAAGACCCAGCTCTTTCATGAATACCTACAACCTTAATGGTGATTATGATGTTGGTCTCAATATTATTGATGATGATGATGATGATGGTAATGATGATGGTTTTGTTTGATAACTACAACTTTGGTTTCTATACTGATTAGAGCTCTGAAGAACTGCCGTCAATGTTGTGTTTTGCCTGTCAGCACCTGTGTGTCCAATCGAACTCAAAGCTGATCGTTTGCACTTACTGACATGGTCTCCTTTTTTCTAGATACTTGTACTTACTCTGATGTACGTCGCTTTGGATAAAAGCATTTGTAGAATTGTAATAAAAAAAAAGTGAATATAAAAGAAGAAGTGAGACTGAGATAATTGATTTCCTGTTCACATTAGCATGGTGCCAATTAAACTTCCTGTCACCAAAGTGCAGCTCAAGATATATTTGGGGTTGTACTGTATAACACTTGAGCACATCTCTTGAACCAGTGGGGAGGTTTGCTGTGTTGCACACGCAGAGAGCTGCCACTTGGTTCATGACATTCTGCCTCAGTCCTAGAAATGGCAGGTGTGATTACTTACTTCATCCTGCTGCTCTGCACTGGAATCATGGGTTCAGGCTACTGTAAGTAATTACCTTTAAAATCAGAGTGATGGTCTCTCTCTAAGTAATGTGACTGTAAAGATAAAAAGGTGGGTTTTTGTTATCCAAGAACGGCCCATTCTTTATGAAACGATCATTTGTGGCTGTATTGCTAATGTGAAAAGAGTGCAAAAAGTACTGCACTGTACTGATCAGTTGGTGGCCTGCCCTCCATCATGCAGCAAAAATAATACAGAAATAAAAAGGATTCAAAAGACTTAGCTTCAAAAGAATTAGCTTCAATGTCAGGACTAGGATTTATTCTCTTAAAGCTTCATTCGTAAAGTAAAGTAAAGTCAAATTATTATTATTTTTAATTATTATTATTTTTCTGGGTTTTTATGCCTTGATTGTGGAGGAGTACTGTGGACAGGGTTGGAAACCCAGATGAGAGAATGAGGATTGACACATAGCAAAGTGCTGAGGGTCGAACTTGAACCCGGGACACTTCGGGGGGTTAAGCCTCTGTCCATGGGGCTCCGTTTTCTCCGAGGCTATCTGACGCTCCTCTAAATTCAACATTAAACGCCTCCTATCCTATAGACCTTTTGTCAGCTACATTACCAAAAACAAACAGTAACTTCTTATTTGTTTTATTCTATTGATGCAACAAAACATATATGATTGTAGTAAAGAATTAAAACATTGAATGAAGTGGAATGGAGATTAAAAAAAAAACACATGCCATGATACTGATCTTAGTAAATTCTTATCTTAACTATTATTAAAACTGAAATACAAACTTAAATGTTTTGCTAATTAAACAAACATAATTGCCCATCTATAAGAAGTTTGTAATTAAGTTTGAAGAACGCCACAAAAATGTGTGCGACTCACGCCCTTAAAAGTACATTCAGTACTTTTGAGAGATGCTGCAGATATATATAGAATTTTAATCTTTGTTTACTTCTAATTGTTGTCTTATCGCTTACTATTCTCTTAAAGCTTTAGCCATTTTCCTCCAGTTCCTTTTATACAGCTCTTATTCCTTCTTGATATTTCTACTTTTCTTATCTATTCTTTTATCTCATATTACTGTTTCATTTACCTGAACTGCTCTTATGGCTATTATATTCTAATTATTACTATTATTATTATTATTTTCTTTTTTAAAGATTTATGTTTGGGCTTTTTGTGCCTTTAGTTGAGAGATAGGACAGTGGATAGAGTTGGAAATCAGAGAGAAAGAGTAGGGAATGACACATCTAGTAATGCGAGATGTAACGCAGCTAGTGAATCATTGTTTGATGAAATCAATCAATCTTCATTTGTATAGCGCCAATTTATAACAAAAGTTATCTCAAGACACTTAACAAAAGAGCAGGTAAAAGACCTCACTCTTTGTTCTATTATCTATAAAGACGCAACATGAATCCATCAAGAGCAACTTTTAGCAAAATTACAGCGGCAAGGAGAAACTTCCTTTTAGAGGCAGCAGACTCATGATGAACAGCCATCTGCAGAAACTGTGTTGGTCTTGGAGAGTGGGTTAGAGTGAGATGCAGAAAGAAATAGAAGGATAGATACAAACAGCTACAATAATGGTAAAAGTAGCCGATGTGCAGTATTATCAGGAGCAACAAAGTATGATAATAGACTGATCAGTGTAATATTAACAACAGCAATTGTAATGATGATGAAACGGGGAGGACTGATTATGGTCATTCTAGAGGTTGAAGTCGAGCAGCTCTAAGATTCCCTTTATTATTTATGTTAATGATAAAAGATGTAGGCCAAGGTTGATATTCATCTTTTATGCCACCTATCGCTCTCTTGATGATGCTTCATTTCTCCTTTGCCATCAGTTCCAAAAACCAGCAGCACTTTATGTTGTGCTCTGCCTCTGTGCAATGCCCGTCAGCACCTGTGTGTCTGATCGGACTCAAAGCTGATCATTTGCTCTTACTGACATTGTTTCTTCTTTTCTAGATCATTGCTTGTGTTTTACTTACTCTCTCTGATGTACGTCACTTTGGATAAAAGCGTCTGCAAATTGAATTGTAGAACTGTAGAATGTAAGTGTAACAGTGTAACTTGGGGTGTACGTTTATTGAGGTTTAACCCTTGGTTCTCTTGCTGTTAACTATACACTTCATCTACTTATCTCAAGATATCTTTAGGTTGTGGATAAGCATGAGCATGAGGCAGAAGTACGGAAAGTACAAATTAAATTAATCAATAAATTAAATCAAATTATTTTAATTAACCCGAGAAACAAAAAGATCTACACCAACAATAAATGTTATCTCCGTCTTACATCTCAAATGAAAATGTGGTATTCTGTGCACAGTGAGACCATAAACTTTATTTCCTCAATCTTTTAAAGGGGTTTGGTTGAAGGTTGGTTTCATTGCAAAGCAGGAAATAGTGGTCTGCAATCTAAAATAACAAGGCCACATTGTCATGGCAACGTTGCACATTGTTGCTTCTCACAGAAGTTCAAAATGGCCACATTTTCCTCTATGTGACCTGATAATGCCTCAGGCCTGCAGGAACAGTTTCATTAGTCTGATCATCAGCAGTTAACCTTCAAGAACACACGCTGAAATGGTTCTAATGTTTTTTTTTCTTTTGTAATTCCAGGTCAAAATGGCCCTGGTAAGTAGAAATGAACACAATAACACTTCAACATTCAAATACATCAAAACTGTTTGATGAAAGAAATGTTTTATTCCACTTCACTCTGTCTTTATGCTGCTTCATTTCTCTGCTGTCATCGGTTTCAAAAAGCAGAAACACCTCATGATATAAGCATGCTCACCAAGTGAAAATATGGTATTCTGTGCACAGTGAGAGATTTCATCAATCTTTTAAAGAAGTTAGGTTGACATTAGATTCCATTTTGGTTTCCTCCCCTTCCATGTTTTAATATAAGAAACAGAAGGAAACAACATGCAGAAACATGACAGATAGCTACATGATAAGCAGACAAGACTAATGTGAACCTGTTACAACTTTCAACATGTTTAGGTTTGCCTTTAATCTTTTGAAATGGATGCTGGGACTGCATTTATTCTTACCTACACAGAGTCCTTGGCTTTTTAGCCCAGCTTAAGCAAACTTGCCTTCACTACAGGCTTTATATCTAAATTCTGTTCTCTGATATGAGGGTACATAGTGTTCAGACATATTCATTTGTGTTAATATGTGTTAAACGTCAATTTAGTTTTTATTCCAATGTGACCTCGGCCCTTTGCTGCATGCCATCCTCCACTCACTCCTCCCAATATTTCCTGTTTCAATTTAGTTGTCCTATCCGATAAAGCCAAAAAGGCCCAAAAAAATGCACAAATGGTTGATGATTTATATTACTATTGTATTGAAGTAACTGACATTGGTTATAAATGGACTTCAGTTCATCGACAGGAGCTGAGAGAGTTTTTTAAATGACACTTCCTAGTTAGGCTAGATTTCATTATATTTTTATGTCAAGTCAGTTAAAGGTTTTAATAAAACAGAATATCATTTATTTTTTGAGAAGATAAGCTAGGTAGCTATTGGTACAACATTATGCTAACAACTGATACAATCTTTAGCTTCGTAATGTTCAAGCTGAGTCAGGTTTCACAACCAGGAACTATTTGAACTCAGTTACATGTAATGCTCAATTCATCTTATTGTATTTTAGCCCGTGCTGCTAAAGCCAACACTGTGAGTGGGACATTGGCCAAGAACCTATTAGTGTTGTAGGAGCTGTGATAGTGATTGTATGTGTGGCTTGACTAATGTTTTCTTGTAATGCAGATGTTTCACCCCTCTTACTTCCAAACACCACAAACACTGCTACCCCTTTGGTTACCAGCTTGTCAGGCAACTCCTCGCCTCCACGCACCGTGACAGCAGCTCCTGTCACGTCTTCAGACACCTCGATCACTGCCACCCAAACCTCCACTCACTCTTCACTTATTACAGTTACCATGTCTGGTTATGTATTAAGACCTGCTCTGTGTACAGCTTCATAAAAAATATAAGCATGGAAATCAGCCGAATATTCCGCAGGTTGGAATTTTCTCATTAAAAAGCTCCATGTTTGTTTTTGTACAGGACTGTGGTAAGATTGTTATATCCTTTGATACGATAACTAACTCTGAAAAGATTAATCCAAACACAAGCTCCCTTCCAAGCTGCTTTGGAAAAGTACTTTAATTTTCCATAATCATGCATTAATATTTTGATGTTGTATTTTCTTTTCTCGGGTGAATCTTCTCCAGCCACCACAAAAACACCTCCATCATGTAAGTAGCTTAGTTCTTTTTTCTAAATGGAATAAAATACCTATTTAGTGGTAATAATGATAACTATATTATACCGTAATTATAATAATAGCTTGAATTAATATAGCACCTTTCAATGGACCCAAGGATACTTTATGTCAGAACACACAAACAAAGGCAACACAATTACTGTAGCCCATAGCTGAGTTGAACAGGATGGTTACAAGAGTTTTTTTAAAGCCTCAACTCAGAGCCACGGACCACCAAATGTGTCCGTGCCTGAAGTGACTTTTTTTAAATGAAAGATGGTGCTGGAGTGGAGCAAGAGGTTGGCAAATGTTAAGTTATCAAAGCTAAATGGTCGATGTGGTTGATTTATTAGCTGGTGAATTGGCTTGCTTACCCTGCAGAGAGTGAGACTCTGCGTTGTTGGTGGCTGAGCACAGCTGTTAAGACTAAAGAAGCAAAGAATGGACTCATGTATCTCTGGTGATAGAGAGGCTTGTGACCAACACATATCATGGGCCTTCAAATATCTGTCTTCTCATCACTACTGAACGCCAAAATCTCTCCAGAGAAAGCCCACAACAATCCTGACTCCTATCCACTTGCTGATTAATGAATAAATGTACCATGTATGCAAAGTGCATACCTGGTCAAAGCATTAAAATATCAATATAATAAAACAATAACTCATTAGAAAAGCTTGAGTCCAAACTGATGGCCAGTTAAAGTCATAAACCACACAGATAGCCATATTGTTTGTGGATGAAAGATCCGACCAATGACATCAACGCAGCTAGGAGGTAAAGGTTAGTGACTGAATGAAAGCCAGCATGCCCCAACTCTCACAGATCCATGCCCCATTTAAAACTTACCATCAAAATGGAGAGTCATATAATAATGAATCCCCTGCAAGTTGTTATAAATACAAAAATGAGCTACGAAGACCAGAACGTGTTTTCACCCAGCCAGGAAGTAAACATTTATTTCTGCTGTAAAAAGGGTATTTTAAACGGGATCCTATCATGGTTTTTCTGGGTTTTTTTTTAGTCAGTCTCAAGTTGACACTTGAGGAACTGCACTTCTGCATTGGCTTAAGGAAGTAGATTGTTATTCGTTGTAATGTAATCCTGGATCCTCCTATCAGATATTATCTGACAAACTTTTAACTTAAATCTCTTTAGACAGACATCTGTAGCAGTGCAGCTAACAATCTGGTTTTAGACTCTCTCAACCCAAATTTAATCCTCCCCTCTCAAGTTACCAATTGGATTGTAAAAATTCTCACATAGAAAATAGTCTTGGCTGGATTTCCTTTATGGCTACCAATAAGTTTGCTTTTGCTCCCAGAGGTTTTACGACTGTATGACGATGGGTTTAAAAACTACTGTAGATTACAACTCCAGTAGATTTATACAGTGAGTACAATCGACTCTGTTGATATCATGTGCAGGTTCTTACGCTGTCTCAACCATCAAGTTTGGCTTCAAGATAGACATAACAAGCGCTACCACTGGAACCTACGACATAAACATCAAAGAAGAGGCCCATCCTGAGACCGAAGTGACACGCTCTGTGGTCCACTCCAACCAAACCTCATCACATAAGATCAAACACCTGAAGCCCTGTACTGAATACAAACATGCTGTGGAATTTAATGACAGTGCTGGCAACATAACGCTCTGTAGCTACACTGGAAATAAAACTTCTGAACTCACAACTCAAATGGGTGAGTGTAAATAACTACTATCAAAACGCATATTTTTTCTTTGTAGTTAAGCACTGAGTTTGGAGAGACATTTGTGCATCACTTTTTTGTTTCAGAAATGAAAGACATTGAAGACGGTAGCTGCATCCCAGGATATGTTTGTTACAGGAGTGATTGGAACATTGGCTCTTCAATGTCAGCATCCAATAATGTTGCAGCAGAGCCATGCCGCACTAACTCTACAGAGTTTTGTATCAAACCTGGTATCGATGACATTTGCCCAAACTTGACCACAACCTTCACTTCAGCAATGTGTATGGACTCTTCCTTCGAAAAGATCAAACGCAACGTTGGTATGTATAGTAGCGTCCTACCATATTTACAGAATAACATCAATCCGTCGATCGTGTTGCATCATGTATAATATTTTGATTATTTGACTTTACAGATTATTTGAATGTAAGTGGATTACAACCGGAAATACCAACTGAACTTCCTATAAATAAAATACAAACAAAATTACCTCAAAACTGCAGCAATCTCAACATTGTACACACGTGTCTGGGTAAGTGAGATGAAACTTTGTCTGCCATCATTATGAATTGATTTACATTGAAACAGACAATTTGCTATTGAATACTTACACTGTGGTAAGAAAGCGATGAAAAGGAATTACACTTTCAAGTAAAACTAAAGGAGCAGGTGGAGATATTGTTGTTCTAAATCCTAAAGAGAAATGCTTACAGGCACTAAGGCACAAACAGCAGTGGTTGAATAAATGTCATTCTTTTGTTTCCTCAGATATTGATGAATTCAGTAAGCCCATTAAGCCATTGACTGAGCTGGAGCCCTTCACAAACTACAGCTGTATGGGTCAGATCAAGGAAAACAATGTTACCATAAAGAACACAACTGCTATCAAGTTCAACATTGACTGTGGTATGTTTACTCTACTTCAGTTTAATCAGAGCAACAATCAGCTTGATGATGATTTCATTCTTACAGATGTCTAACGTTTTCTTACAGATCTTACAACTACATTCACAACGCCGTTTGTGACCGACACTTCTGTTAAGTTGAGTTGGACTACAACCAATCAGAAATGTAAAGATGTCTTAACCAAGTCTACAAAGTTGTCTTTTATCTGCAGTTGTGTCCATCCTCATTCCAAACATATACGCAGTAAGTAAAGCTACTCTCCCCAATTTTCTTATTAAGTCAACATGAATGCAGGTTCTTTTAATGGCCAGTTCACCTGAATAGTTAGATATGATTTGGAAATGTAAATGATGCTACATGCTAACACTTTAGCATCCTGAGTGATAAAAGTTTGGATAGTAATCTTGAAAAAGAATTTCCGTTGAAGAAATGTCTCTTCATTTTTCACGTATCGTCAGATGACTGACACAATGGTAAATAAGCCAATGGATGCTCAGATAGAAGCTCTTGTATTTGCTGAAGGAACTAACTGGGTGTTAAGTCAAAATTGATCCGCCAGCAGTAGTTGGTCCCCAAAGAGGGTAAATAGAGCTAACACTAGTGTTTTAAGATCCTTATAAATCCTCACAGTGAACAGGATGACTTTGAACATCAAACAAAGAGTGAGGATGTGACCGACAAATCAGTGACCTCACAGAGGCGCCACTGTTTGGACTTTGGCGTTTTACCGTCGAACACATAATAACTTTATACAATATATAGTCAAATGTAAAAAATATTGATATTTGCAGCTTAAAACTGAGTCAGTAAATGACTGGTTGTTCACTTAACAAGCCAAAAAATTCATGAACTTTGATGAGTTAACTATAAGTTTGTCATGTGGTGTAAAAATATGAACTGGACCCAAAGTGCAGAAACCAAAAAACTATTTATTTTAACAAAAAGGCAAACTCAAAAACTTACTTAAATTCAAATCCAAAACGGTGAAAAACTGGTAAGCACAGGTAATGAGACACTGGCAAACAACTGACATCCAACAATGATCTGACACAGAAGGGAAGGAACAATGGGTGAATCCGAATTGCAAAGTGCCTACACAACCTTTCAGTAGTCAGTAGACAGTAGGCGCGCACAGTAGGCAGATATTTGTTCCTACTTGGGTCTGGTTCATTCAGTACGGAAGTGGGGTCATTTGAGTTACCCGAACCGGCCGCATCCGTCCTCTTTTTTTATTTTTATTTTTTTAGCTTTATTCAAGAAGAGTAATGCACATATAGACTACAGTCAGTTAAACGAAAAACAGTATCGCAATGCAAATCAAGTAAAAGACAGATTAAATAATAAAATCACAAAAGGGAGAAATGAAAGAGAGTAATAGGCATTAGGCTATATAAAGTACAATAAACCAATAAAGATGCATACAGAAATTTGGAAATCATTATTTAAATAGAGGGGAAAAGGTTGCAAACATTTGTTACATTTTTTGTTAATTAAAGTAGCGATTTCAGACCGGACTTTAACTCTAGATTAGAAATGTATTCAATTAATCCATGCTCTTCTTTTTTTTATTTGGAGGCGCACGTGAAGTGACGATTTACGTTTAATTTCGCACAGCATTGCGGGTGATATAATACAATTCATTTCCTGAAAGGATGCATCCAGTCCATACTGCATAAAAACCAGAAGTTAGTTTCCATGCTGAAATGTTCAGTCTACTGAGGTGGACACAAAAAATGTCTACTGAATGACCACAAGGGTTCAGTCTACTGAAACAAGGGAAACAAGCAACACTAGGATAGACAGGATAAATCACAACAAGGAAACCTGAACTTTGAAATAGACAAAAATACCAAACTAACTAAGACCAGTACCATAACTAGTGAATATTAAGGGGCTTTGGTTTGCAGTGCTAGATCTGATGAACTTCCACTGACAAATAATGATTGATTTGTTGATTGACAGACTGATTGGTCTTAGATGCCTTATTGTTCAGTCAGATGTTAATGATGAATCAATAATCGATTAATAACCGTTTAGAATTTCTGAAAAGAAGAAAATCTGTTTTCTTTACAAATTTACCAGCGTTAACATGTAATAGGCTTCCATTTAATAAACATATATGGTGATTAATGTATTTTATGTGCTCACAACTCCTGAACGGTTAGATATATTAATTTTCTCCAATAGTCAAACCAGGAGGATTATGTGTATTGTGAAGAGGGTCGATGGTTTTATAACACTTTATGTTGATTTTAAAAAGGTGTTTCATTTGGTCGGCCTTATTAGTCCAGAAACGGCGGTAGGGCCACGTTTGGCTTTGTGCTGTTACGCAGTGACGTTGAATAAGGACAGTTAAACTCTAAAAATAGTGCTGTTTTCAAGAGAGAGCCTTGTTTTTTATTTATTTAAATAGTTTGTATTTAATGAATTCATGTTTCATGTAACTGTTGTGATAGTATAATGGTGTCAATTAAACAAACTGAGGAAAAGATGTGTGTTTTGTAACTCAATTATTGATTGTTAACATGTTCAACTATTGGTTAAGAAAAATGACGAAGATGAAATTTGAAACCCTTGTTACAGGTAAACGTTCACGCGGAGGATCATGTTTAATTGATGAACTGGAACCGTATACCAACTATAAATGTGGTGTTGAACCCCGCTACAAGAAAAAGTTTTTGTCAAAATAACGTCACCTGTTGAGACTCTCGTTGGCAGTAAGTTTAAAAAAGTTTCTTTTTGAGATGATTAGAGTCAACATGTGTAAAATAATAACAGACTATCCGGGTATGTATAAAGGTCATGTATTGCACGTGTTGTTGAATATTAAGTTAAGACAAATGTTCATCAGTCAAAGTGAATGTCTTTCTGAAAGTCATAATTCTTTAAAGAGAAGACTCAAACTGTGACAAACTATACTTCATTTACTCAGTCTGGTTATAAAACAGACTTATATTTATACTGAAGCCTCTTTATGAGCTACAAAGCAAAAGAGTCCACCTGCAAGAAGAAGATTTCAATGAAGTAATTTTTTATTCCTGTAAACACTGCTGTTGTGAAGGTGTCAGATGATTAGACCATTAACTACATCCAGCCGTCAAAACAGCCTCTTTTTTTTCCTCTTCTCATTCTTAAGAGAAAAGGTTTCACAGTGAGTGATACATTTGACTGTTAAAAGACAGCAGGATGAGATTAAATGTAGAGTTACATCCAAAAAGATCGCAAAAGTTGACACAAACAGAAAATGCCTCACAGAGCTATAAGCTGTAATGGAAATTACAATGAAGCTCCAATGACCAGTGAAGAATGAATAGTAAACATATTAATAATAGACTTCTGATTCAAATAAAAGTGGTCATTCTCCATGTTTTTCTCTGAGACTTTGTGACAGTTAGAGTCTTGTTTGTAAAGTAAAACGTGTTGTTTTTTCCAACAGTACCAGCTGATATCTCTACATCGTCGGTGACTCTACTAGGGCATAATGAGATAAAAGTAACCTGCACTCTTCTAGGAAGATTTTATGGACCTGGAGGGTATTACATTGCACGTCTTCGTTATAACGGTGACATTGTGATGACCCAAAAAAACACAAAAGAATGTCTTTTTACATTCAAAGATCTGAGCTACTCTACAACATACATCCTGGAGGTTTGTATGATCCCAATATTTATGTTGTCAAGATTTTTTATATATAATATAAATGTTTTCTCTTTTTCTTCAAAAACTACAATTCCTGATTAAGGTTATTTTTCTGTTTAATTCCAGGTGGCTGCTGGCAATAAAGAATTTGAGGGAAATCTGAAGACCAAAGAAGTTATCACTCAATGTAAGAGCTGTCTTATCTTTATACTACATATTGTTTAACCATGTAATTTAGACAGACAATCCATAAATCTATTCATTTCCTTTTATCTAAAATATAAATGCAATCACTTTGACATTCTTTCTATGACCATCATTCTACAGACAACGACATTGCTGTCATTGTTGTGATCATCTGTGTGATTGTTCTGGTCGTCGTCGCCGTCGTCAGCATGGCCTATGTCCTTTGTAGGAGAAGATCCCAAAAGTAATGATCATTTCACATCTAATCTTCTGCCAGAGTTGGACTCTATCATTATCCTTGTTTTTTCTAACAGCTGACGAAAGGGTTTTAGTAACTGTGCAGTGACCTCTGTTGCAGCCTAACTAAATGATGTAAATCAGATTAATTAGGACATGCCAAAAAGTGAAATATGTTCCTAGTTTACCTGTTAGGTTCAGCTCCCATACTTGAAATGTCTAGATCAAAGTACATTATATATATCTTATACACATTATATTCTATAAAAACAATCTTCACTATTTCTTCCACAGTGATGTGAACAAAGATGTGATGCTTGAATTAAATCCAAGTGAGTAAAGTTACTTTTCTTGTTGTTTCTGAATAAGTGCTGAAAATATCTCATCTGAAGGCAACTTTGAAAATGTCTTCATTTAGTATTTCAAAGAAAGTATCGGTTTAATGAGTTCCCAACAATTTAATGCTTTTGTTTTCACCTCTGTAGTTTATGAAAATGTTCCTAGATCTTAATGCCATCATCAAGACGCACTGATGAATAAAGGCCGGATGGAAGGGATCACCAACCGAATCACCAAATTCACATTTCTGCACGTTTCTGTTTACACTGACTCGTAAACTGCTTGAATAGGATTTGCATTTTTCATGATAGCTCTCTCATATCCTGCCACTCCGTTTTCCTTACTTTGATTATACTGTATGTACTTATATCTGAAGTTTAAATGAGTCCTTTGTGACAGTTGAAACATGCTATAGATGACACGAGATGAGGCACACCTTTGTCAAAAGGTGTCTGAATATTTTGCAGTCCTCTCCTCATCTGTGATAACCAAAGCAAGCTTTTAAACTGTTGCTATTTAGAATGGATTGCACATTATTATACCCTTTTTTTCTTTTCTTGTAATCATTTTAGATTGTCCAAACTATATTTCTGGACCTGTTATTCATGTATTCAAAGATGTAATAATTGTAGAAAGAAACAAGTGAAAACTGCAGCTTTTACGTCCTGTTGAGACAAAGATGTAATGAAGAGGCAACTTCTGCAACCTGCAGGCGATGAATAGGACGGGTTGAGTTTTCATCTCTTTAATTGTATTCATTCATTTTTTATACATCTTTTCTTTATGGATTGTTTGAGATGAGATTTAAAGGAAGAATATGCAATTTTTCACACTTAAATGTAGCAGAAATCAAAATATGCCCTGAAAATTTTTCTGTGAGTCATGACTGTCTGCAATGAGTGTGACACCCGAGTCCGCTGTGATGTTGTCCTAGCCGTATCTACAGCGTGTTTACATGGACGGGACGGCCGGTTGGTTCATCCCCTTATGTATAAAAGTTGTTTAATTGAGGGACCAGAGAAAAAGAAGAATAACATACTGAACTCACTGCTTATTTGAATGCCACATCAGCGTTTTTAGATCACGTTCATTTTGTGTAAATTTACAGTGAAGCTACGAGCTAACTAAAGAGCGCTAGCATTAGCACGCTAACACAATAATGCAGCTGGAGTTGTTTTAGGTTCATACTGGTGCTAGTTATAAAGTATATAACTTTACGGCTACAATAGTTCCAATAAAAACGAGTTTAATGCAAGCATGCTCCTGGTCTCAGTTAATGTCTTCATGCAGATGGACGTTGTAGCGTTCTTTTTGCCTTCAATCGGAGGATGCTTAGTTTACTAAACGTACCTTTTTATATCCCATGCTTTCTTCTATTCAGGGTAAAATGGTAACTATCCACATCCTCTTTTTAAGTCTGGACATTTACATCATATTTTCAAGAAGTGTCAGTTCTGATGTCCCTCTATCACTGGAAATGTAATGTTTGTCACTCTGACTTTTAGGCAAATAGAGGATGATAGTTTTTTTAAAAGTAATTTTCAGGATCCTGTTGTTCATCACAGCGTGTTACAGAACCATTAACACACTTAACCCTTCAGCTGGTATCATCACGAGTCATACTGTACATTCAGGTATCAAACATCTGTGCTGGTTCTAAAGAGCTTCAAGTACACACTTTAAAGTCCAAACAAAAACTGAAAGCTTTATTACAATACTTCCCATACAATGCCTTTGTGAGGAGGGTCTTCAATTTGACATGAAATGTAAAAAAAAAAAAAAAAAAAAAAAAGAGAACCAAAAAACCAAATCCTAAAACATCCATTTAAATATCATATTTTTTGAACACCCCCTGGGGTGATCCATTGCATGGACAGAGAGCCTGTGGAAATGTAAACTGAGTCAACGGAAGTTATAGAAAGACCAAAAGTTCTCCCCATCAACAATGTTCCATGATTATTAAAGTGACTTTGCAATTCGTCTCCTTTTGAGGGTTTCAAAAAAAAAAAAGTGGGAAAAAAGTTTGTGTACATAAAGAGAAGCTTTAACCATTATTAAAGGGATATCATTTGAGGCAATGCAACATGACTTTGTACTGCATATTCAACGTTCATAACAAGGGGAAGGATGAAAACACCTTATAAATATTGTTTTTAAAAAAGCAGACTTGACATCTACGATACACTTAAAGCCAATTAACAGCCATCACGTGTTCTGAAACCTTTTTACTAAATCTGAAATGGATCTTTGGTCTTATGACAGATACATATGTAACATACGAGCAGAGTTTTCACAAAATAGTTTGCAAGTTGCACGAAATAGAGAGACAAAGATTCAAGACAAAACAGAACTGTGGGAGAGGAGGATGGAAAGAAAGCACGACTACTGAAATAGAAAAAAAAAAAGGTAAAATAAAGGCTTTGTAAAATGAACAACAAGAAGAAGGTGCACATTTGCAAACAATGTATTTGCAAGTCTCAGACAAGTAACTGTATATTAACACAATGTCGACATATTCTGTTTAACAAAACAAAATAACTTACATTGTCTTGCTTTGACTTTTTTATATAGAAGATGTAATTAAATGTTAATATAAAAAGAAGAATGGGTCTGCTTGTCCAATATTTTGATTGAACAGTTAACACTGTATTTGATCATTTAAAAAGATAAGTCATAATGCTCTGAAACACAGCGTGTTTAACCTCCCAGGTGATATCATTGTAATCATGTAAACCAATGGGAGTCAGTGCTGGTCATTTGAGAGCCCCCCGGTGTAAACCTATTAACAGTAAAAACAACATATTTTGTTTATATGTTTATATACTTTAGTTTCATCCACTGCTGACTTCTGCCAAATGAATATAAGGCCACTACAGACTCAAAACTACAGGAACTCGCTATCTACAGCAAAACAACATGACAACATTCCTTTGCTGTTGCATATTATTTTTTCTTTGTTAAACTAAAAAAAAAAAGAAAACTCCTACATTAAATTCTCTTTTTGTGTCTTTGGTTTCTCAGCTGAGGACAAAAATTAGGTAGTTACGCTGTGATTTTATTTGTGAAGCGGACGGTTACCTAAGGGTAGACCCTGATTTCTCTCCAACATTATTTGTTGCTTAAGAAGACAATTCGACTGCAAACTCACACAGCAACTTTAACAATAACCACACTTTGTACCCCCTCTGGTGGGTCGAAAGCATCCACTGGACAACGATGTGAAGATTTTTTTTTTTTTTAGATTTTCCTCTCACTGTATTTTTTAGATTCCTTAAAATAAAATAAAAAAACTCAGAATATGTAATAATAAGAAGTCAAGCAAAGGAGGAACAATTACATGTCAGTGACATTTAGTTTCAGCTTCTACTTCTTCGAGGCTGTCAAAAAAAAAAAAAAAGAGTAATTCTAAATTTTTAAAAACAATACATAGATGTCAAAATGACTAACATTCAAAGTGTTCTGGAGACAGTTGCCCATGTTCTCCCCCGTGCACGTCTCCAGTTTACCCTTGAAATGATCCTTCCTTTCCTTATACATTCATTAGACATTAACACCCTGCCAGACTTCCAGTACCAGGGTCAAAAGTGCAACACAACGAGGCTTCAACCATCAAACACTCTATTATATCTCTCCGTTCTTTCTGCCATTGAGTGAAAGTCTCTTTACTTGAACTTCACTGTTGTGCTCAAAGTTTTCAGGCTTTTTTTTTTGTGTCACTTGCTGTCCAGAGGTCTCATGAGCAGGGATGAGGATCAAAGCCCTGTTCTGTTTAAGTCCCCATGAAATGGTTTTAATCCTCAATGGTTCCTGTGTTAAATGCTAATTTATCTGACATTATCTGCATAATATATTTCATTAAAGCATTATCTGAGTATTTTTACATTAAATTTGATGTAATTTCTCTTCCTATAAAACATTTCACATTTCTGATGACTCACCGTGCACTCAGATGTTTGATCATTTTGTTCTGTTTCATGGAGACTTTCAGGTCGGTTCTGTAATTTTCTACACCCATACAGTAAACTCTTTCACTAATTAGTATATGTAGTGGAATGACTATAAGGCAAAGGTAAATAAAATGTCAGAATGATGTGTTCAAATGTCACATCAAGAAAACATCTAGCGAGAAACATAGTAAGAGAAAAGTATTCATAGTGTTATTAATAAAGACCTGGATTGTTAAGTCTTCATAAAAGTATCAATATCAATCAAAACTAACAAAACCTATTCCTACTCATGAGACCCAACAAAAGCCTACAAGGTCATTTTAGAGGATATCTGCACTAATTGTTTCCAGAAGGCTAACACCTAACTTTTTTTTTAATACAAATGTATATGTAGAGTTTATGTCCGATGTAGCATCTGCTCAGCACAGCTGCTAAAGAACGATTTGAATGTCTGAATGTAAATCCACATGTGAGTTACAATATATTGACTTTCAGCGATGTAACATTATATAAGTCTAAAAAGGGGAGTTCTGTCAGACAGCTAAGCAACATCTCTTAAATCTTTATCCTAGCGCAGGTAAGGTTTGGTGTCTACATCATGTTATACACAGAACCATCACCTTTGAAATACTAATATGTAGCAGGTTCTACTTAACACAGGGGGCTTAACTTATGAGTTAGTTATCGTATAAAAGCTGATAGATGTGTATGAGTCCGGCATCTAAAGCAAAGGGGGGAGGGGAAGGAGTTCTGCAAGCTAAAGTTTGTGTAACTCCAGGCTTAGCTGCCTTGTGTCATGTTCTGCATGTGTTTGGCAATGTCGTACACGTAGGTGATGTCCGGCCTCTTCTCCGGGTCGGGGTTGATGCACATATCTACCAAGTTCCTCAGCTGGTGAGATGGACGGGGGGGGGGGGGGGGGGGGGGGGGGGGGTTGGTATGGAGGTAAAGAGGGAAATAACACAGTCAGTGACATTGAGATTTAATTGTATATTTGAAAAAAAAAAAGGCAGATCTATGAATGAGAAAAAACTCCAGCTAACAGACCTGCTCGTCTTTTAATGCCTCCTAAAGAGCTCCGTCTTTAATTTCACTTACACAGCAACAAGTACCCGAGCTGAGGCGGAGACACCAGGCTGGGTTAGCGCACTAATCGCATAATGGTTTACTGATTTCACTTTTACCTGAGGCCCACACACAAACACACACAAACACGCACAGGCACACCCACTCGCACGCATACACTGCTGCCACTCCATTGCCATCCGGAGACAGCGCTTACACTTGAAGCCAAGCGAAGCGGCTGATTGGAGCAGATAGATAGACAGGCTCGCAGGCGGAACAGCCACCGCCATCATTAAAAAAAAGAGGAGAATAAAAGATGGGGAGGAAAGAAAAAAAATTACATCTACGCGAGGTCGCTATGGTAACCATCTGCCGACTTCATGGCCGCTGTTGCATGGCACCGGCTTGGACGAGTTCTCGTCAGCCGCTGTGTTTGTATGTGTGTGTGTGTGTGTGTGTGTGTGTGTGTGTGTGTGTGTGTGTGTGTGTGTGTGTGTGTGTGTGTGTGAGAGAAAGTGGGAGAAAGATGCAAATTCAGACAGTCTGAGAATTAGTCCCACAGAATAGAGATGGGGGGGGGGAGCAGATATGTAAAATATTCATGCGCTTCTTTGCATGGCGAGTGGGGTGGGGGTGTCAGGTGGAGGGAGGGGGGAGTAGGAGTTAGTGAAGGGAGGCGTGTGGGGGGGAGCATAGACGGAGATGGTTAAATGACACAACAAAGATGAGCAGCTGACAGTTTGCTGCCGATCCTTCAGGAGCATTGTTTACATCCAGACAGGCGCTGCAGGCACCCCCCTCATCTCCATCTCTCCATCGCCCTGTCTCTCGCTCTATCATTCCCTCTCTCTTTCACTTTGTCTCCCTTTCTCATGGATGGGGGTGACATGTGGGGCAACGCAGGAGCTCAGTGTGGTGTGTGTATGTGTGGAGTAAGGGAGCTGTTGTAACAAAATATACATATTTTCCTATTTGGTCCTGCACATGCAACACACACACACACACACTAAATTAGGCTTTATAAACCTAATGAAGAAAACACTACTGTGCAATGAAAGCCCACCTCCTCACCATCAGGGTTCACTATTTGACTAGTGAGGCTTTAATAAAGATCACCACTTTAAATAAGCCACTGTCGACTTGTGTGTGCAGATAAACTGATAATATAGTGAAACAGATGGAGATCATATAGGTTGCACATTTGACTGTGCTGTATATTTTTGCGAAAATATATTTAAAACATTGAAATGTCCAAGAAAAATACAGTCTGGCTTTTTCAACTTTTACATGTGTTCTAAAATATAGAGTATATATACAGCACCGACTGATTCCTTTAATGACAGAAAAATAAACGTCCACAAGTGTCACATGTTTCAAAAATTGTTAATGCAATGAAACAGTCTGAAATGAGTATTGATACAAATATATGATCTATAAATTATGTATTAAATATAGTGTTATCGTATGCTTTTTGTACTTTGTTGTGTACGAGAAAGAATACTGCAAGAACACTGGTGTGATCGTTATTACACCTCATACATGAGTGGACAACATGTTGTCCTTTGCATTGAAGCTTTGCAATAATTATTATGAAGCAAGAGAACGCACATGCACACGCACACCACACACACGCACACCATACACACACCACACACACACACACACAGTATCAAAGCACAGTGTTGATGCTAAATAGATCTTGTACCTGATTGCATGTGTACCTCTGAGTCAGTGTCTAGAGTTTTCGCATGTGTTTTGACTTCATATATATTTTGGAGAAAAGAAAAAAAGATGCCACCCACACAAAGAGGGCACGCAAACACAAAAGCGCTGTGCATTCATAACCACATCATCACCAATCAGCAATAAGGCCATCTTTAACCACGGCCCGACTACATTTCATTTTGTGCACGGGTAAGTCTGCAAAAATTACAGCAGATGATTTAACATTTAGTAAGGGAAACATGACACTCGAGCCAATTTAGTTTCAGCTCACTTTGTAGCATGGCCAGATGCTTTTGATATGTGCATTGAATTTTCAAACGGTTTAAAATCATAGCCGGCCTTTTGATCACAGAGAAAGATTACGTTGTGCTGTGGCACAGAGAGTTGGGCGGATTTCACTTACATAATAATTCTTTTTTATAGTCAACACAAGTAAAAATCAGCAAACTGGCACAGAGAAAGAGAAAGTGTCCACCATTGCTTTAAAAAAGGAGTTTACTTACAAAAATGAGTGCTTTTCTAAAGTTTGTTTAAAAGAAGTTCTGGAGTAGAGTCTTTTAAAAAAAAAAAAACACTGAGCAGGTCCATAAGTAGATTAACCAGGAGTAAAAGAAGAAGTACTTACCTCCTCTGAGTAGTGATCTGAGGGAAGAGGGGGGTAGTCACACTGTTCTATCTTCTTACAAAGGGAATAAAGATTCATCTTATCTCCATAGAACGGACTCTGTAAGGCTGCCATCTGAAAAATAAAGAGAGGAGGACAGAGGTCAGAGAAATGTAGAGGAGAAGGGAGAGAAGACCAAGGCAAAAGGCTGTGGGAGAGTGAAGGAAAAACCCAGTCCAAATTTCAACTGGGCCTACACAGAAGACTTATTGATTTAAGGAGGGCTTCGGTCTGAGAAACAAATAAAGGCAGACAACAGGTCGATATTTAAGTTTTTATTGTATCAGAATGAGTGGTGGTCTCATTTTCAAGCTAACCAAAAGTGAAAAAGTCCTTATTATCTTTTCTTAGCTTGTATGTTTGTTTTTCCTCTAGTTTGCAGATCCTTTCTTCAGGACTTCTTGGACAACTTGGAGGAGAAATGAAGGGTTGGAGTAAGACAGAGGAGAGTGTGAGGGGAGCGGTTGCAGAGCACACGTTTGAGAGAAGGGAACTGTTCAGTTTGCTGGAGTCGAAAAAGGAAATGTATACTCTAGAAATCAAATGCAAGCAAGCTGAGCAGAGGAGAGGAGAGGAGAGGAGAGGCAGACGGGGAGGGTAAGGAAGAGTGGAAAGGATAAGGAGATGCTGGCTGAGTGGAAAAAGGTGAGGAATCCCTCTTGCCTTTCTAAGAAAAGAAAATATTGCATGCCATTTTTGCCAGGCTGAGTGGCTGACTCACTTCCTATAAAGGTGCATGCCAAAGGTGAAGCCTGCAGCAGACAAGCATCCAAAAACACGTTCTTGATTCTGTGCTTTCAAAATAAATAACTCGTGTTGGGCCAGATTACATGAGTTATGACAAATGCGTATGGTTGGAATAGCTGTCAGTGTTTACAATGAAGAGCTGCTCAGAGATGTTGGAGGTTGCTGACTTTGTTTCCATTAATAACACATAGTAGTAGTAGAATATTTAACAGGAAGAGGTCAGCTGCAGTACGGTGGTAAATATAGGATATCATAGGAGTTTGTGGCCGGACACAGAAAGGCTCTCAGTATGCAAAAGTGAAGTATTGTGTGTATAAGTTCATACACTGCACCTGTAACAGGCAACAAGGGCATCTCTAAGCACTTTGAAATGATGCTACAATGACTCTCAGAGGAGAGGACATTAAAATAAAAGCTAAACAAGATTTAAATCCATCACAGGTTTCTTCGAATCATATTCAATCTACATGTGATGTAGAGAAATGTAACACTTTCAACGTTGTTACTGTTACTGGAAAAATAGGAAAAAGCAGCACAAATTGTCTTAAAAAGGATTAGAAAGACAACACAGCTTTTTCCATAATGGATAGATTACAATTAGAAACAGTTAAAACAAATAATTCAGGTGTCTGTTTACTATCATACAGAAACTGAGCGGCGTGTTTGACAGCCTGTTGATTGGGAGTGTGAAAAACAACGACAACATGTCTACATATTAATCCAAACTGAATCGTTCCATACAGAGGACAACATATTAGTGTGAATCTTCAACCTTCCACGGTATCAGACGTAAAACAAACAAAAAATATAGTACATAAAAGTAAGAGTTTAAGAGTTTTGCCCATTTGCGGATTTAAAAATAAACTTTTACAGCTACTTGTTAAAAATACAAAAAATGTTCATTCAGAGCTCACATTCAGCTGAACCGAAAAGCCAAACGTACTTTTTCTATAAGCATGTTGACCAATGGAAAATGCCACAATTAGTTGCATGTAGCAACAAATGTAACCCTTTGATAATTCCAATCAACATGAACATCACCAACTTAAGGTGTTTTTTTTTTTCCTGCACAGATGGAAACAATCCTTGCACTCTGAAGGGCAGAGATGGCAGAATCTCTGCCTGAGCTTTCCAGTGGGGAAACTCAGAAGGCAATCTCTTCTCTGGACAAATTCTACCGAAATATAGTCGATGAAATGATCACGCTTATTCAGGATATTCTCACAGAAACGCACAAAGTAAAAAAGGATCTCCCTCTCTGTCTTTGCTTGGACACCTGTCCTTCTCTCTGCTTCAACAATAACACTGACACAGCGGCGGTCCACAGTGATGAGCCGGTGAGGATATCCCGGTGTCTGTCAGTTAAGATCTCAATCCATCAGTAACATAACCTCATAACTGTGAGCTGAGATTACACATTTGATCCTGAAGCGATTTAGAGACAAGGACAAATAAACAAACAAACAAACAAACAAACAAAAGTCCATACCGTAATGAAACTCTTTGAAAACTCAGCCTGGAGGACTTTACAGAAAAGACACTGACACAGCGTCTCACAGCTAACTTCATTCATTATGGTAATTGTAAAGACCCTCGTATCATAGTAAAGCTTACCAAATAGAAGTCTGATCACTAAGTTAGTGGTGTCTTAAAAAAGAAAAAAGAATGTGTTGACGTCATAAACAGATATGACTTAGTTGCTATTCTGCACAGCTCTGCTAACAAGCTTGAATAAATAATAAAATGATCGCAGTCCTTTATAAATTTGCCTGGGTGTTGCCATTTAAAGCTCCCAATAGCAAAAAGTGAATATAATTGGATAAAACTTGTTTATTTAATTAAATCTGAAATTGCGTACATATCGGACATGTCAATGATTACATGTAATAAAGTGGCGGTCTTTTCTCACTGGTTCAACTAACTAACTAAAAAAAACTTTGAGACAAACATACAGTGCAATACAGCATTTTAAGACATGAATACTGAAGGCTCAGGGAAGCACGTTCCAAAAACGAGTCCACTTGTGTCTTGAAAAACCTGTAATGTTACAGTTGTTGATTTAACTGTATCAAGATCATCAACAGTTAATTGGATATTCTTGGCTGCAGTCCTAAAGAGACCTGATCCACCCAGAGAGGTAAAAAAAACAAAACAAAAAAAACTTCAGATTTGATCATGAGACATTTATCACAAAGGTTAACCGTCATCTTGCACTTTTTTGGATGCTGGAAATTACTTTTTATTACTTTACAAATATTTAACACCTTTTAATGTTGTGTAAAAGGCAAATGGACCCTCGTATGGTGTTTCCCAGAACTTAAAATTTCTCAGTAAGCAGGAGAAAAACAGACTTAATCAGCCGGCTACAGACACCAGGAGGCAAAGGGTTAAACAAGACCCCCTCGTATTTTCATGCATCTTCTGCTTTTGACAGATGAAAAATGTCAACTGTCCTGTTTGTATTTGGGAGTTTTTGCACTATTCATCTGCTTCATTAGTGCCTGCTGCTCCTAGCCCCTGACAGCTGCCGGCCCCCTGCTCTGAGCGCACACACACACACACACCTTTTTTTCCCAGAGTGTGTCGTCGCAATAGGTTAGATGATTGACTCACTCTCTGACCTCTGAGGCCCCAGTGTGTGAGTATAAAACAATGTGTGTGTGTGTGTGTGTGTGGTATAAGGTTCATTGATATTCCAAAGACATACAATGCACACGCATGCCTGCTGTCTGTCTAAGGGGTGTGAGCTGCTGGTGGCAGAACGTATGCACAACCCTGCAAACACAGAGTCCGGCACACGCTCTCACACACACACACACACACACACACTCATGTGCACACTCTCCCTCCCTCCTTTGTTCCTGGGCTCTTCTTCAGCTGGGCAGGCTCTGCTCTTTCTCTGGCCCAGGCATGTAAAGCTAGCATCCCTGTCCGTGTTAAAGGTCTGGATTTGGCCTTCCAGCTTAATTAAAAGTGATCCTGCTCGCTCTCTCTCTCTCTCTCTCTCTCTCTCTAGCTTCACTCCCTGTACGCCAATTAAAGGAGCTGCATAAGGATCCAGGATCTCCCTAACCCCTCTCTCTCCCTGTGGCTGTTGCATCCTGGGACTGAAAGGCTGCTCACAAGTTCTCACTCATTTATAAAGGACACATAAAATTATAGCTCCATGAAAATAAACACCTAATCATAACACACATATGAAAAAGGATAGATTTTTGTATATGTGGGAGTATATCTCTCATACACTTAAGACACACACAGTAAAAAGCGAGGAAAGCATGACTTTTTTATGTGCTCACTGGTCCTTCATGTGGTTTTATGATGATATATTAATCAAGGCAATAAGTCAAAGTGTAGGGACAGTCATTAAAAATATACCTACACCCAGTGGAGCCATGACTGCTCCACTTCAACACACTGAAAAGGGGAGAGGGAGGGAAGAAAGATAAGAAGATGAAGAATGGAGGACGGAGATCAAAGGTGCAGATTGTTCTAGTGGATTTGATTTTTCAGGAAAATGAATAAAGTAACGGCCCCATCTCACTGCAGTTAAACTTACAGTTCAGCTTTTGTATTTTAGCAATTTTAAGATACAGTTCAGCATTTTTCAAGATTTACAATTATTTTATTTCCTGATAAGAGTTGAATGTGTAAGTTAGTATATCGCTCATATGTCCATGAAATATAAAGCTTCAGCTTGTAAGTTAAGCAAACTGAGTAAAAAAAAAAAAAGTATTTGTATTTAAACAATGCAGCCTCTGTTTTTTTTATTTATTGATGGTATGAAAGAGAACCGAAACTTTAAAAAAACATCTTCAGTCATGTTTTTTAACCCAAAGAAATAAAGAACTGTGTAATTTAAGCAAATACATGGGCAATGTTTCAGTACAGACATGAAGGAGTTTCTTGCCATTTTTGGTCATTACAAACAATAAATTACTTCTGGTAATCTGGTGCCTAGGTATTCTATTTTTGTTGCTCTGGTTTTTAATAACAGTTATTGATATCATTTTAGTTTTTAAGTCAAATTCTGATACTGTGACAACCCTCAAATGTCTGATAGGCAACCTTTGGAACAGCATTATATGGACAGTGGTAAGAATAACATTTATGTTAACACATCGAAATCTACACCTGAATGACCAAAAAAAAAAAGATGCTAAGCAGCAGGCTTTGAGTCCAAAACCCTTCTTCCTTTTTCAAGAACATGTAGAGAGCTAGCCACAGGGCCAACTCATTGCATGTAAACGCCAGCTGCTCAGAGCCCCAGCATTTCTGGGCCTCATAAAACCAACAGCAAAACAAGAGGGGAGGTAGAGGAATAAAGCAGGAGGCATGAGACATGAGCACAGTCAGAGGTATGGATCGCTGAGCTCCTGCAGGAAGGAGGCACATTCCAGTAAAGCTTTTCAAGATATTCCCCTCTGCTGCTCAGCTTTACACAAAATAAAGCAAACCACAAAACATCTGCACAAGCCGGGGACCTACAGTGTGTGTAAAATGCATTTATTTTAAATACCAAGCTAGTTAATACAGGAATAGCTAATGCATACATGACTGAGAGTGCTAGGAGACCACAATCTCATCGGCTGGTGCGTGACCAGACCCTCTCCTTTCCTTCCTGGTCACCCTGGGAGACAACTACAGCAGCTGCAGCATCCCTGTGTGCCACAGCGTAGCGGGTTTGTGTGAGGGGTACGAGGCAGGGTCAGGTGATGTAATGAGTTTGGACACGTGAAGAAAGGGATCAAACAGAATGGGAGATAAAGATAGACGCAGATACAATGACCAGGTATTGACGGGCGGACCCTTCGGACCCTTTCCCAACCCCCAGGCGAAAGAATAAAAAAGGCAGGCGCTCTCAAATGGAACTGTTTCTCATACAAGGAACCAAACTCCCTGGGATAAAGATACGCACTCATGGACACACACACACATACACACACACACACACATACAGCAGCACAAACCTCAGTGCTTACTGTATGTTCAGAGTGAAATCAATGAGTACCAAAGGGATCAGGCGTGGATTTCTATGTGAATTCCTTCTGCCTGAAGGTTAAGTGAGGAAAAGGGAGGCATACGGAGGGAAACATAGCAGAGGGGAGGAGATAGAGGAGCGAGTTTGTCTGAGAAAGAGGTAAGTTTCCTAACACAGAATGCACTGTGGAGCCCTCTCACCAAGAAGAGTGGAAACCAGGAGTCTGCTCTTCAAAGAGAATATGCATGGCGTGGTGAGCACTGCTCTGGTAACAATGAGGTTGTAAAATCTTTATCTCCACAGGCTCTTTCATTGCTCACCTTGACCTGGTGGCTGGAGTTCTGTATTTGCTCTTATACATGCAGTTATTTCTCTCTGAATAACCCCCCCCCCTCCATCTGCCCCTTCTCTCTAGCAATCTATAACCCTTCTCTTGCTTTTTGTTATTTTCCACTTCTTACCCTCTGCTCCCTCTAACCTTCCATCGCATTTCTTTTCATTCCCTCCAAAGACCTTTACTGCCTATCTCCTTCCCCTTCTCTAGCTTCCTATATGCCTATATAGGTTCCTAAACTTTTTACCCCTTGCTTCTTTTTTTTCCCTGCCTCCTCAGCAGTAAGTCTTCCTCTTTTCTCACTATGGCTCTCTTGTTCTGTCCTTTCCTCTTCTCACCTCTGGCCTCTGTCTTGTTTCTAAGTATTCAATCCAGACACTGACCCCTAGCAGGTTTCTTTAGGGTGATAGTCATAAAAGATCAATAGACTGCTCCCCCTCTGAAACTGTGAAACAAGCAGTGCTCAGGCTGCACATGAAATACTTCCTCAACAGAGGTTCTCCAGCTACAATTAAACCAATCAAATTATTTGATTAATGTCTTTACCTAATGTCAGTGTCAAATAAGGGATAAAGAGCCACCCAGAAAATCTAAAAAACAAAGAACAAAGGTGTTCAAACAAGCAGGAATTGATCTTACAATTAGTTTTAACTTACCGGTAACCCAAATTATTATTATTTTTTTTTAAATTTAAAAAAATCCCTGAAAATGTACAACATCAAAACAAATTTAACTTTATTTCTGCAGTGCATCTGTGGTGACAAAATTGCATACCTGCAGAAAGTATGCAACAGGAGACACATATACTGATGCAGTCTGTTTTGTATTCATGGTAAAAGTAGCATCCTCCATGTGCAAAACACTAGCAGGAGACATAAAAAACTACGAAAAACAGAATGTGACCTGCAGCACCCACTGCTTTCAGCCAACCAAAGCCATGCATTGCCTCGGTGCATTGTGGGAAACTAATTAGCATGAAGGACTGTGGTCTCTGAGCAACCATGACCTGCAAGCTGAGCTAAAACTTCTTCCTCACGAATTCTCCACCTCTATGCCCGAGGCGCTGTAGAGAAGCTGTAGTCACTGGTGCGTTGAAATGCAGCCCAAGTGATCAGCAACTCAGGGGAGTTAGGAGAGAGGAGGAGAGGAAAATGTGGGTGTTTCCTCTGCCGACAGTTTGTCTCTGGAAGTGAGTGAGTGTGTGTGTGTGTGTGTGTGTGTGTGTGTGTGTGTGTGCGTGTGTGCGCGTGTGTGTGTGTGTGTGTTAAGTGCATGTGAAGGTTGGCGAGGTGAAACATCAGATTGACTGCTATCATCCATGTCTATCATTGTTCTCCTCCTCACTTTCTCCCCTTTGTTCCCTCCTCCTGGGCTTGTTTCACTCAGTGTGGTCTGCAGCAGAGCCCTGTGGTGTTTCGCTCCTGACTAATCAAACTAGTCAGTGTCACTGGGCGGCCTTATCTAAAACACATGGACATGTCGGTTCCCCTCTGTCTCTTGATCTTCAACGTTTCGCAGGTTCTCGGGCAATGTCACTTTTAACTGAAAAAGCCTTAGGCCTTAGCTGAGCAAGGGCAGTTGAAATAAATACAGAAACAGGCATTGAAACAGGTAAACACATGTAATATGGCCCTAAAATACCGTATTAATATGAACTCAGTACAGACAAATAAGGGAAAATTATGCTGTGTGCAGGTAACATTGTTCAACATTGTAATGGCGATGCAAATGTTAGTGCATTTTAGGTGAAACTCACAGTTTCCATGTCTTATCTGCACAAAACCTTCGTCTTTCCTAAATCCCCCAAAAAATCCAGAAAGCATTTTTTCTCCATGATTTTGGTACCAAATATTGTGAGGGTAGCAGACAGCCTGCTTGGGCTTCATCTGACTGTATTAAAATGGTGTGAAAACTTGGCCTTTAAACTCAGGCCTCCTTCAGATAGGTACAACGTATTTTAACATTGTGCGTAATCATTGCGATATATTTCAGACATTTGCATTATGTGTTTTTTTGCAACGCTCATAACACAGTAACAGTGAAATTGCTATTAATTGTGCCACCCTTAAGAAGTGTGTTTGTTATTATTCCAAATTAAAACTTCTAGATAAACTGGATGTAATTACAGCACATCCACATCTACACAGTGCAGGTGGTGAATATTACTCCACTGTATGTGGGATTGAGGATGGTCTGTTTGTTTGTGTGTGTGTGTGTGTGTGTGTGTGTGTGTGAGTCAGAGCCGATGTGTTGGCACGTCACTCCTACAGTCGACTGTGAAGGTGACAGTGTGTGCACATATTCTCGTAGTTTACCTCGTAGAGCAGGCATCCTAGCGACCAGATGTCAGATTTGAAGTTGTATCCGTTTTCATGTATCCTCTCCGGTGACATGTAGTAAGGAGTACCCACTAGAACACAGGGAGAGAGTGAGAGAGAGAGAGGGGAGGGGTTGAGTGAAGGGGGGGAAAGGGAGAGACAGAGATAGGTAAAGGTAGGAAAGGACAAAGAGAAAATGAGCTTTGATATTTTGCATTGCAATACACACAGTTCATCAGAAGCACTAACAGCGTACACAGAAGAGGACTACTATCTAAGCATAAGTTTCCAAAACAAGAACTAAAGAAAGATTTTAAATTAAATCGTCTGCTAATTTCAAGGAAGCTCGAGTGAAACAACATTGAATTACATTAGATATCAAGATGTTCACTGATACAGTGCATGCAATTCTACAAGTACCACAAAGTTGCACGCGTATGTGCAGCAGACATACTCACACACACAAAATGTACATGAATCAGTTTTGATTACTGCGGCTCGGTAATGATCTGAAACAGTAGTCAGAGAATATGCCCGGGGAGCAGCCGTGGAGCCTTAAGAGTTGGCTCGTTTCTGGTTCTGGTTTGGAAACTCAAGAATCCCCACACTGCCATGGCGGCTGGCAGAGCTCCAGAGAATCAGACCTTCACCCAACTGGACGCAAAGAGGAACCGCAGCTCAACATTGACTCAGTAACACACTGCAGGAAGCTTTGGATATTTGCTGCTTTCTTAACTGAGTCTGACTGGCTGCTTTTTTCATTTGCTTTCTGTTTGCTGTGATTTCCCATATAAAAGTCTATCAAGCACATCCAGCAGAGGTTTTATATTAATCACATATGGTTAAAGGATGGAAATTTTAGCAGGCCGCTAACCTGTGCTGAGCAGCTCTCGGGCTGCTTATTCCACATCTTCTCAGGCAAACATGTGAATGAAGGCTTTCTAGAATATGAATATGACAGCTAGACACAGCTTCTGCTGAGTTGGTGTACAGCGTCCATCAGCAGGAGCTCTTGACAATGTGGGTAGGCTAGCCTAGCTATCTTCACATGCCAAAATAATCAATGTCTTCTTGCATTCTCCTTGAGAGCCGTACTGATTATTACCTGAAAAAGGTTTTTTTACACTATATATTTCATCTTTATTACTAATTCTGTTTCTTATATCTCAATAGCTTCAGTGAAATTAAATAAGTTGCATTTCTGATTACATGATAGACCAATGACCTATTTGGAATAAATTTGATTGTTTGCTTGTTTAATGTTATTCAGTTGTTGTTGTTTTTTTACCTAAAATGCATTATATTAAATCAGTGTTTCCAACCTATTTTTCATCAACCCCCTTCCACATGTATCTAAGAAAAACAGAGACCCCCCCCTTGACCCACACAAAAAAGTGATACATTGCTGTAAAAAATGTAAAGCCATTTCTTATTGTTTTTTATTGATAAAATCCAAAAAGAACAGGCCTACAAACCCTACTTCTTACCAAAAGACTGTAGTATAAACTAACCAGTAAGTATGTTATCATGATTCTAGTTAATGTGAAAATCTAATTTTGGCAACCTCAGAGCAGAGAAAGCCTCACTCCCTGAGATCTTTTGCAAAACATGGACCCCAAGTTGGGAACCAATGTACTAAATGTTCCCTCAGCCTGTGGTGTCCAGCACTAAGCCATGTGGGGCTTCTCGGGTTTTCAGTCTCATCACACATGAAAGTTGCTCAAGTTTCTTCCTGCAAGAAATTACTGTTTTCACATTTATATTTTTTTTTATATAATTTGTGGACAAAAGCCTCAATCAAATGAAAATTGTAGACTGAGGGCTGAGTAATAGCTTATTCTACAGGGTAACTGGCAGTCAATGAGTTTACAATCAGCAGAAAGAGTTGAAGTTAGCTGGGTAGGTAAGAACAGCTCTTAATGGAGAAAAAAAAAACAGGCAGTCAGCCTGCAGGATATAGGTAGGACAAAGCCATAACTGCACACTCACTAGCAGTACCCACATGTTCGTTCAGACACACACACACTCCCAAGCCAGTCTGCATATTAATAGGTTGGAGGAAACTCAACTAATGTAAAGCAATTAAGAAAACTATTACAGGGGGAGCTTTTCTATTTGAAGTCTACAGAAACTGAAATGAAAGCTAACATTGTTTAATTTCGTTACAGATCTAATTTGGTCGAGAAAACACACTTTAATCTTAAATGTGCCGTTTTGAATAAGGAAGTGTTACCTGTCATTCCAAAAATAATCAGTCTGCAAAGGCAGCCAGGAAGAGAGAGAGAGAGAGAGAGAGAGAGAGAGAGAAGAATCCAGGGACTGAGAATTGCTGTTTTAATTGGTCATCAGGTTGGTATTGTGGTTTGTGTGTGTGTGTGTGTGTGTGTGTGTGTGTGTGTGTGTGTGAGGTCTCATGGTGAGGTCTGAACAAGCTCCCCTAACATTCATTATTAGTTGATTAAAAAGAATCAGCCTCTCTTATGCTAATAGTTGCGTTAAAAAAAACATCAGCGGCAGACTCAGGCTCAGTAAGCATGCTAAATTAAGGGCACATTACTTATTCATGCAAATAAATTGAGAGTCATGTTGGGATTGATTTCCATTATTGTGAATGGCTATGACAACACTGTGTTCTTTGTGAAACAGGGTAATTGTTGTCATATAGGAGGTGAGATGCCATACTGAATAAAGAGCCCACATTTCTATCCTCGTGCTGTTTTTCTTGAACACAATTTTTGATTTGATTGCACAAACTTGCTGCATTTTATCTGAATGCTTTTATCGGCAATTTCATAGAGAGTCCTCATCAATCCTTCTCAAATCGTTTCTCTATCCCCTGTTTTTACATTTCTGTATGTTTGAAAGCCATAAATCTCGAGTGCTACAATTCAGTCTTTTAACCAGACCCTGGGCAGAGAGTTTGGGAACCTTTGCTCCATCGTTTTCAACCAATAAGATAATAAATTGTCAGCAGCAGCACAGCCAGGATAGACTTAATCTCATAGTCACAAGGCGTTCTTTGGATTCCCTTATAGTCCTATTATGTTTTCATGGTTTTCTATATGTCCTGCTGAGCCCTCGCCCTCTATTTGGCTCCCCGCCTACCCGACTCGCTTCCTTTCTTTTATAAGATAACCAAGTCTTTAAATACATGTTGAAATCCTCATTATTATTTCCAACATCACCCTCCCTCAAGTCGTTCTGTTTCTTGTTCTCCCTCTTTCCCTCTTCTTTCCTTTTCCCCCGGTACTCATCGTTAACACCTCTCTCATTACAGGTGTTAATTGCAGGTATATTATACTACTTATTTCTGCCAATTGGCTAGTCTCTCATTCCTCTAATGATTGCATCAGCTTTCCACTTACTACCAATCATTTTTTTTGTCATGTTTTCTCTGTAAACCAACTTCCCCTACAGCCCTGCATATCAGTCTTAATATTAAAAAGCATGAAGTGGATAGTGTGTGTCTCTTGCCTGCTTGTAAGCATTTAAGTCAGACTCAGGCCAAAGACTATGGATGTGTCACTTGTGTGAGTTTTTTTGTGGGTGCAATAATACAAGTACATATAGATGTGCACGAGTCCCAGTGCACACATCTGTATAGGAGACCAAGAGTCTGAGTGTGTGTGTGTGTGTGTGTGTGTGTGTGTGTGTGTGTGTGTGTGTGTGTGTGTGTGTGTGTGTGTGTGTGTGTGTGTGGGGTGGGGGTCTATGTGATTGCAGGCTGCTGTGAGTTGAAAGCCTGGGAGCTGACAGGCTGTATGCCTGGACCTCCATCTCATCTCCACCACCCTGCGCCACTGTTCAGCTGAATGGCTGAGCTCATTACAGACCCACGTTGGCACGCGATTGCACGTATGCACGCACATACACATCCTGCTCTTCCTCACATTCTTCCTTTCTATCCCTCTCTCTTGCTTTCCTATTTTTCCTTAGACATTGTTTGATTATCTATTTTTTCTATCTACACCTTACTCCACCTCTTTTACCTTTTTCCCTCTTTTTGTCACTCTGTCCTGCAAAAGTCTACCTTCCATTTTCTGATTTTTTGTCACCCATTCTTCTATAACTTTGTGCTCCCTACTGTTCCTCACATATTGCTTTCTCATCTGTCTCTCTGTGTTTTCTCCCATTCTCCAACTCCAGTTTTCTCACACCTTCTATCACCCCTCTCCTTTCTCATTCACCTTTACCTTCAGCTTTCTCTCTAGCTAAAAGTCAGGGCACATGAGGAATGGAAAGTGGAGGTTGAAAAAAAAAAAAGAGAGCGGAAAAAGGGAGGACAAATTTGACAGAGAAACAGTTACAGGAGTGAAGGATATGTGACAAAGAAGGACAGGCAGGAGGTCTGCTCTTGTCACAAACAAAAAATGTCAAAGGGAGACGGGAGACATAATGAGGGGAAAATAATCTGCTTCTGCAGGAAACAGTTATCTACTAATATATTCTTTTAAAATTCTCATGTAGTTAAAAAGTACACATAACTGTTCTAAATCAAATCTCACCATGCTTTCACTCTGTCCTGAAAGAAATATGACACTGTAATAAGCAGTTTTTAGGAGATTCATAAAGCAGCCTTGGTTGCTTCAGATTAATGATGACAGTATTCCAGCTGACCCCTGTATGTGTGGGGGTGCTTATCCTCTGTTGGCCTAAAGAGGGTGCTGTGGACTCAACATTTAATGAGCAATCACAGACACTTCCCCCAGCTCTCCTGGCACTGCAGGCTGCTCAGTTGATAAGGCTTCTGCTGAGTTGATCATGTGATTCACACTTTTCTCAAATGCTGGGCTGCTGCTGTACAGGGGCTGAGAATAGCGCTCTGCTTGTGGTAAAAACTGTTTGACATGGGGAAGTGAGACAGCGCGAATGGCAGCGTTTATATTTGTTCATGGATTTCATTTTTCTGCATAGTGATCAATTTCAATCATCTTTTGTTTTATTGTCTGTATAATATAAATTGCAGGGGTCAGTGAAGTATTCAGTTGAAGTGTATAAACCAGGGACAGCAAAGAAACACGCTTGTTTTAGCATCCGTTGGAAACAGAGCCCACTCAATGCGTAAAACATTGTCATGTGGTCACTTGGTCATCAAAAGAAGTATGGTAAATAAATATCTTATAAAAGCATAAAGAAATATGAAATGTGCATAGGAAATATAATTATAAGAAGAAATATGAGTTCAATGAAGAAGACTAAAGATTGCTACTAATGACAAATTTGTATTTTAAACACTAGGACACGGTAGAAAAGCGTGTGCATGTGTATGTATATTTACATGTCTGTAACTATTCTTGTGGAAATAAATTAGCAGCCAAATGTTGTTTCACTCCCCCCTTAAAATTATTGAAAGGACTCCTGAAGAATAACCGTACAAAGCCCATAGTCATAAAATTTGATTTTTAATAAATGGAATTATTCTTTTGTCCAGTCTGGAGAACCACTCTTAGTTTTTGACTTAACCTGAGCCAACTGACAGGTCTTAACTATTATTTGCAATTGAAAGCTTCATTTCTCACATATTCAAACAAAAATATAACATGATATGATTGAATTTGCTACATGTGACAAATGCACCAATCAATGGCAACAATGACCGTGATTGTAAAGTTGGCTGGCTTGTTTTATGGCACACAGTCACGATCAAGAGCTGTGTGTTGAAGGCCTCGGCACAGTCTTCATCTGTGTTAGGTTTAAAGGTCAAGGCAACAGGAAGTGGCTAAGTGGCCTATGAAGGGGCGGGGCACAGCCTTTGCCAGGCAGCATGACTATATGACACATGGCTCTAGGCTCAGCAAGCCTAATGAAACACATCCAGCGCTGGTTGATTAGTGGGGGCCGCTGTGTGTCTAAGTGTCTGAGTGAGCGTTTGTGTGTTCATAAAGAAAAAGGTTTGTGTTTAAATGTGTACATGTAAGGACTGTTGTAAATTACCTAGCGAGTGAGCGGCGGTTGTTTTGGAGCTGAAGAATCGTCCCAGTCCCAAGTCTCCTAGTTTCACTACTCCAGTAGCTGTGATGAATACATTGGCTGGCTTGATATCTGGAGAAGGAGAGAGGAGAGTGTGTTAATGTTGCATTGAGCGTTAACCATAGTCCTAAAATAAAGAAATAACAAAAATAAAAGTGAATATTCTCTGGAAAAGGAGGACCATTAGGAAAAGTATTGTTAATGTTTATGTCTCTGAAAAACAAAACTGTATTACATGCAGTCTGTTTAGGTTTACAGTATTGGGACACTGTTTCTATTGCTTTTTCTAAAGTACTGTCAAACTGACTTGCATCCGCCTTTGAAATTTACTGCTCCAATATAATCGTAAGCAGCTTTTGAATAGGCGGTCTCTGCGAAGTGGTCATTACAGCCCAGAGCTCAGGGTTCATTAGTGTCCCTCTGCCATAATCAGAGTCAGTCCAACGGAAGTACACCACCTGTAGCCGTAAGTGTGTGTGTGTGTGTGTGTGTGTGTGTGTGTGTGTGTGTGTGTGTGTGTGTGTGTGTGTGTGTGTGTGTGTGTGTGTGTGTGTGTGTGTGTGTGTGTGTGTGTGTGTGTGTGTGTGTGTGTGTGTGTGTGTGTGTGTGTGTGTGTGTGTGTAGCCTTCAAACATGAATCCAGATCTGGATTTGACTGGGCCCTACTCAAAGCATATGTGCCCATAAACACTGTGTTCTCTGGTCTATATGTTGTTTAACACCTCACTTAAGCTTTCTGTCAAATGCAACAAGGTTGTTAAATCTGAACAAAAACGTATTGATTTTATGTTTTGTTTTTATCATATTTTTTCTACTAAAGAGGTGGTACGAGATGCATTTTATGTGGTATAATAAAAAATAGCAAGAGGAACATCTAACGGACGTAGTGGTAGTATGCTACTTAAAATTAACCTGCAGAGACATGACTTTGGACATGATGCAGAAACTCAACACCAGCAAGCAAGGGCTGTTTTGGCAACACACTCTCCCTGTTTTCGGCAAGTATAGGACCTTATCTCTTTTGTTCTGGAGTGTGTCAACTCATCACTCACACCAGTCACAGACAGGTTTGGGGTAGTATTTTATGGCCCCTGTGGAGAGCAGCTCATTGTATCCAGAAGCCTCTCTAATGTGAAACCAGGGCACTACTCTATCATAAAAAATCAAGTCAATGAAATATCAAATATTAAAGTCCAGGGTTGATAATTTGCCATGTAAAAGGGTCATAGGGTCTGTCATTAAGACATATAAATTTCACAACACTGATGTGAAAAAATCAAGTTGTATAAAATTGAAGTTTTAAATTATGAGGAAAATGGGTTTTCAAGGGCTCAGCTTCTAATTGTTCAAATGCTTTCAGACATTATTCATATGCTTCATCATTTCTTTGTGGTCTCCTCATAAGCCATATTCCAGAGGAGTTAGCACTGGTGTGCTAATTTACTGCTTTACATGTATAAAAGCAAGTGAACTTTTTTATTCAGAAAAGTACTTCAATCAAAGTCTAATGAATTAGATACAATTTCGTAAGTACTCCAAAATGTTGCTAATCTCTCAAAATTAAAATATGTGTTGTTGCATGTGCATGTGTTAGTGTACACTATGTGTGTGTATTAGGGGCTGCACAACTTCAGATATTTGTAATTCAACAGTCATGTGATAAAAGTCGAATCGAAGGGAATGCTTTGCAATCAGCAACACTATTTATTTGTAAACCTTACTGAATATGCTGCTGAAAGCACAATAGCACGTGTGCTACAACTCCTATATAAGAAAGTGCAATGTTATAAAAAAGTCACAGTTTTACATTTTCTACCCTGCTAAGCCATTAGTCCACATCCGGTATAAAGACTCATCACACAGCTGTAAAGTGAGTATGCATCAACTCACCTCTGTGCATGACTCTCCTGGAGTGCATATGCTCAAGTGCACTGCAGAGCTGGACAAAGTACTTCCACACTGTTCTCTCCGGGATGAGCCTCCTCTGCTTCTTAAAGTGCTGCAAAGTAAACACAGGAGCACACAGACAAACACACACAAATATCGTTACAAATACAATATCTCAAAATAAATGGGAAAAAGGGGCTTGAGTGACACGGAATACAGTTTCAAGATGGTAGCAAAATGTTTGTCTGCTAATTCAGCATCCAACCCCAGACTGCGTCCCCAGCCCTGACTCCACTGTTAATGCAACCCAGACCCCTCTCCTCACAGTGTGTCCCTTTCCTAACCAAACTCTGTCTCGTTTTCTCAATGACCTACAATAGAAAGCACATGCATTCCAAGGAACAGAGAGAAGAAATCTGTGGTACCTTCCAAAACTCTCCCGTCTGACGCACAGCTCATTTGTAAGGTAAAGCCTTCAGTGGCACAGTGCCTCCAGATGTTTTTAGCATGTTTATTTATTCAGGAGGGCTGTGCGAGGTATTCTAGGTCATCAGGACAGTGGTCCATATCAAAAGAAGTTACAATGATGACAAGGCTTTAACTTAAGATAAGATAAGATGAGGTGGAAACTCCTCCATCAACAACAGCAGACTGAGAAAATGTAAAAATTGTCCCAATCGATCCTTTTTAAAGGTTAAAAAAAAAAACAACCTCGACTTTCACAGGCTTAGATGGCAGTCTTGCCCATGACCATTGTACTTGAAGCAGACATTTTTACATTAAGAAACGTGTAGTTAGAGCAGACGCACAATAAGAGAACATTTCTGGGGTATCAGCAGAGGTAACAATATAAATCAAACCTTTACGTTTTATTCAGGTGAACATAATTGATGGTAATTCTTTGGGTTTTTAAGGATGTTTGTCTGAGCATACAATAAATGTATGTACAGCTTGCTGAACACCTGTACATTCATGTTTATGCATTGAAACAGAATCAGCTCACAATCTGTTAGAACTGCTGGTGATTAGTTCAACACTGCACAACATAGTAACACTAAAATCACCATTATCATTATTATTATTATTATTATTATTATTATTATATGTAGTAGTACTAGTAGTATTTATTATATGCACTTGTTTTTAAGACACACAATAACATTTTAAGTGAGTGTGTGATGGGGGGGGTGTTGGGGGGCTAAGATGTACCTTTCCTGTTCTTACCTCCCTGTCTCTCTCTGGAGTGCTCTCTTAACGGGGATACTTTATTTATGGAACTACATTAGTTTTGTGTCTATAATAGTCAGGGTGTTTATTAAATGTTGAAACAGAACACCTATAGTCTCTGGTGAGGTCAGAGGTCAAGTAGGAAAAATGACAGGATCTGTTAGAATTATTGGTCAATAGCTTGACTGAAAAATGTGAGAGAGAACAAGGGAGGCAGAAAGAGAGAAAGGAAAAAGGCAGAGAGATGAATGAGGAGACTACAAATAGTGGAGAATTGAAAGAAGCAAAGCAGAGGTAAGAGTGGCATAAATGATGGAAGGTGTGTGAGAAAAAAAAAAGAGAGGGATAGAGATTGAGAGAGGGAGGGATAGACCTTGGCCTACATCCAAACAAAGCCTTATTGAGAAGCCATTCTTCCCGTGCCCTCCCATTTCCATATCAGAGGACCGTTTGATGTCAGTGTGGGAGCACATAGACACCCACCAACACCACCACCCTCTTCTCCATGCCTTTTACAGCAAACACCGCACATGCAATATTCTGTAAGTGCATGCAAATCAAGGACCATTTGATTTCATTTGAATTCTGAGATGGTCCGAGAGAGAGTAATGGAGAATGAGGGAGGAAGAGAGAAAGGATGAGAGAGCGGCGTGGAGGACGAGAAATCAAAAAGAATAAAAAATGTTAAATTCATTCATGGGGGGGGGGGGGGTTCTGTTTTAAATATGGCACACTGTATGAATGTGTTTACTTCACATTACGGCCTGAGGAGGAGGAGGAGGGGGAGGAGGAGAAGGGGGTGCTAATCCATGGCACGCACCTCTGGACTGTTACTGTTAGATTTGAAAAACAAATCATTTAGAACTGTGCAAGAGACAAATGTTGCAGAGGATGGGCGTGTACGTTGGTATCAGACTGTATGTTGTCAGAAGCCATAAGGAGATTACACAGTTTGAATGCTCCCAGCATGCTCGGTTGCTTAGCTAAAATAGCAGTGACGCTCAGTGGTTTGTTATTGTACCTCTTTCAGGCTGCCATGATATCTCTTTGTAAAGTGCATTTCTATAAAATGTGTGTGTTGTCTTTGGTTGTGTTCACACATTCTTTACTTACAGAGTGCACCCTATGCAAGTACTCAGTGACTGTGTGTGTGGGATATATATCACTGGTGTATGTGTGTGTGTGCTGAGCCTGCCATGTTCACTCTCTTGTACCACTAATCCTCGCCTCTCCTAATTTGCTGTGTTGAACTGTGCAGATGTGGAGCTGCTGAGTATGACTGCAAACAGCTTGTCGAGCTGTGCCGATACAACGCTGCGGCATCATTTATGCATGGGAGAAGACCGGGCTTTTTACATGCACACCACTAATTTGATATACTGGCAGGTTTTTAGAATAACTGCTGGTTCGGCCTAACTCAAAGCTGAATAACAGGGTGAGCCTGGGATGTAATCGCTTTCACTTTTGAACAACCCTGTTCTTTCTTCTGCTCCAATTTTAACAGCATGCACCCTTGAAAAAACACAGGGGATCTGGGTTTAAGACGTGGTCAAGTTTATACATCCCTGGGCTCAAAGCCAACTATTACAAACTCTGTTCAAAAATACATTTGCATTTATTTGGACCCAGTGTTGATTTTGCGAGTTAAATTATAACAGCTCTATATCGAGGGAAAGTAAGTGAAGATTTAAAAGCTGGGCAAATCTTCTGCAAGTGACATAGTAGCGGATTTTTTTATTTACTGATTGATTTTTTTTTTTTTTTTTTATCTGTTCTGTTGGTCAACGCAGCGATTTTATGTCTTGATATACAGCATATTATGTGAAGATAAAGAGGTATATTTCATGGTGCTAAAATGTAAAACAATATTACCGCATAAGTAACATGCTGCTAGTGTGAAGGCCACAATACAAAGTCAATGAGTAAAAAAATAATTAGACCTTAAACTGATTAAATACAACCTCAAATTATTGCTTCTGTCCCGATATATTATGTGTAAAAAAGTATAAGGAAAACATATGCTACGCTCAGTGTCTGTTCACACAACACATGCTGACACTTTATGACCATTAATCATTGCTTCATCTTTACAACTTCCCTTGCACAGACTAGGTATGTCAACACAGACTATTGGGATTAAAGGGGGTTTGCAGGAGGTCTTATATTAGTTGGTTTTTGGTTTCAGTAAGGGATGGATGATTCAGATTGACTCAGTGTCCAGTATGTCAAAATCCTGTAAAAACGACAAACCACAGACCTCCTGCCTCCATTCCTTTTGTTGAAAAAAAAAAAAAAAAAGCCACATCAGCAGTCTGCTGCTTCTATGATATCATTCCTTTGAAGTGTGTGATATGGTGTTGAACTACTTTGTCAGATATTGACTAAAGAATTACCGGTAGCCCTAAAGAAAAACTGGAATTGTTTTTTCTGCCAAACCAAGACTTCCTTTTCTTCTTCTTCTTATTTGTATTTTCTTCTCAGTGTCCTTTAAGTCCTTGTGCTTGACATTGTTCTTGGAAATGTTCCTGACCACATAAACAAATCAACTGCACTTCGAGGAGTCTGGGCGACAGTGTTAGCTGGTGGGGTCTGCTGTCTGTGGGGGGGTTTTCATACCTTGATCATACGTGAGAGGTCCCCTGCATCTGCCAGCTCCAGGACTATGTTCAGCTCATTGTCCTCAATAAAAGACGCGTGGTACTTTATCACATTGGGGTGGTTCAATTGCTGTGGAAGAAAAAGAAAACAGACATGTCATGGAAAAAGAAGCAAACAGAGGCCATGTTGGTGGAATTTGTCACATTAGAATTCTTGGTGGTCACACTACCTAATCTGAGACTGGAAGTCATTCCTTGTAGAAGCTACAGGCAGTAGCAAACATATTAGACAAATTATATCTAAACATTACAACCGGCTGATAATAGCAGAAGTTTTTGTCATAAATTGCGTAATCCATGGAACTTTCACCTCCAGTTTAAAAAGACGATTTTTATCCATTTTTGGATTCCACATTTTGTAAGAGTGGACCTAATGAGACGGTTTTGTCCTCCAGTGTGACAAAGCTGGGTGATATGTCACAACAGCCCCTCTGTCTGTGATGACAACAACCCATGTGTGACACTCACACACGCACACACACACAAACACGTCTGACAGGCTGACATGGCTGGCAGTCAGAAAAACAAGCATCCCAGGCTCATCTCTGGCTGAGATTTCTTCCTGTTGGTTGGTCAATAAGGCAGGAACAGCATTCCTGGTAGTAAACAAAAAGTCTCTATCCATCCAGAGCAAGGAGGGAAAGGGGGGAGGGAGGGAGGGAGGTGAGAGAGAGAGAGAGGGAGGGAGAGAGGTGCAATGAAGGGAAAGAAACAAATGACACAGTGACACAGACAAGCAAAAGGAATGATGGAGACAGGGGTGAGAGGGAAGGGAAGAAGAACAAAGGTGGGGATGAAAAAAAACAGAGACAGATAAGGTGAGTTAGAGAAGGGGGGTGGGGGTGCAGGAGGAGATGCGATATGTGGAGAGCTGGAGACATGGAGCTGTGTGGCGTGGCGATGTCGAGGGGAGGGGGTGATGTGAGCAGACGGAGCAGTGTGACACGCGTCCTCCACTCGGCTTCGCTCTGCTTTCTCTGCTGTGATTAAAGAAATGTTCATGCTCCGGATGATGCCGTGAAGAGGGGAAAGGAGAGCGCAGTACAGTACACTACGCAACACTACACTCTCCACTCCATCTCTGCATCCCTCCACAATCTCGCCTTTCCTCACTCGTTCTCTCTTTCCCTTTCTCATGTCTCCATCTTTCCTTCTCCCTCCCTTGTCCTCTCTTGCCAGATGTATTTTTGGCTCAGAGTGGCAGTTCTGCATGGCTCCACACTGTAGCACAGCCAGAGAGTGATGACAAGCCCCCCCACCCCACTCCAAACCCACTCTATTTCCACAAATTGAACCTCAGGCAGAGGATACAAAGAAATAAAGAGATATGCTCACATGCAAATGTTTCTATAAATGATGGATGGGAGTCTAGTGCAAAACAACTATCATTCATTGGGAAATATCACACAGAGGCTTGCATGATTATGTAATTACACACCAGCCTGTGTAATTACTTAATCATGCAACAACCAATGTGATATATTTAGTTAGCTGATGATCTGTTTCAAATAGAGAACAAGATACTGACGGATGCTATCTGATGGTATTAAATTAAGCATGATAATAAATTAGGTTACAGTGTATTTATAAATGGAATTACAGGCTAATAGGGAAGCAACTGGTAGGAACATGAACTATAGTTATATAAAGCAGATTTTGATGGCCATCTCTAGCAAAAAGGAATGCCTCCTGTTGCATGACATATCTGTACATTTCAATTGTCTTAATAAGAACTATACAGTATAAAGAGTGTGAATAAGGTGGGATCTCTGATACGACACGATACGATACGGTACAATAAAGTAAGGTACTCTAAGTTAATATCATGATTCAACAATTCCATGATAATTGATACATTACAATGTGAAACATCAGGATAAGTGATAAACTAAAGAATATGAACAACTTGATGTCAGTTTCACCTCTTATCAAATATCATCCTTTCACTTCTTTCACCACTGTCCGTCATTATCCCACTGTCAGCTTCTGCTTTGGCCAATTAACTTTTGTTTACATTAACCTCATTCATGTCATTAGTACCACCATGAGGAGTGATGATGTGATGACTCATTGAGTCAAATTGACAGGGAAATCTGTTAAGAGCGCCATCTTGTTTTTTTAAATTAAAATGTCTATATTTGGCACCAGTGATATCGTCTATACGTCTTTGTTTTGCCATATTGATATTTTGTTGCACTGTTACTAAATATTTACCAAACTTGCAAAATACCTAAAGATGACAGTGAAGGTTGAGTGAAGCTGCTTGCTGAAGGTTCTCCATCTTGTTACTAAACTGGTGTCAGAATCAGATCATAGACAGAACCCAGACATGCACTCACACATAGACAAACGCATTTTTGCAGGCACACAAAAACACAAAGAAGCTAACATGCAGACATCGTTACAGCTCTTCACTGCTGATTAGGGCAGATTATTACTCTTCAGAATACTATTCAGACTTGATAGTATCCACCAAGCAAGAGACACACAGCTGTGAGATTTCAAGAATGGCGAAACTAGAAGACTGGCAGGGAGCAGGCTATTTTCTGAAACCAACATTTAGACAAAAGGGTGAAGAGAGGAGTGAGATTCTCAAGTTGAAATCATCATGCCAGAACTGGAAAGTACAGATGAATGAGCAGACACAAACAAGTACAGACAAACAAACAAATAGGCAGACTGTTGAAAGGCCATGACTGAGTAAGAGTGTGTGTGTGTGTGTGTGTGTGTGTGTGTGTGTGTGTGTGTGTGTGTGTGTGTGTGTGTGTGTGTGTGTGATCACGCGCCAGTATGTGTGTCATTCCAGTCGGTCCATGCCAGTGTGCCTCTCATTATTCTGATTTGGCTGTGTCTCCTGTTGGCCTGTCTAGTGGGGGATACGGCAGAGGGGCTGTCTCTCTCTCACACTCAGCCCGTTATTATCAGGCTGGCTGGGCAGCGAGGGGCTCGACGTAACTTCCATGTTCACTTGGAATCAGCTTACAGGATGAAAGGAAGTGAACAAAAAGCTCTGAGGGGGGAAGATGAGCAAGGAAAGGGATAGATGAGAGATAGCAACTGGGTGAAAAAGGTACAGACAGAAGAGACAGGAAACAGAAGGAAGAAGAGGACAGAAATATGGAGGAAGACAAAGAGAGAAAAAAATGTGGGTGACAAAATATGAGAAACACCTGGCAGAGGGACATTAACCATGCCTTGACCCCTCTTAGGAGGTGAGAGATACAGATCAAGGCGAACTTCGCCGTCTCTTGCCGTCAAGTCAATGATCTTCCACTCAGATTACAGCTCTCTGCCTGGTCTTGCCTGCATCTAAGTATCGTTGTATTTGATTGGCCTTTAGAGACCCTGGAGGTCCACTGATGTGTTTGAAAATAACTAATTGGTTTTGTTTTGTTTTTTCTAATGTGTATATGTAAGCGTGAGCATGTGCATAAACTGCCTGAAGTGCACACACATGCGGGCAAGGCCTCATATATGGAGGGAATCTAACCAGGAATGCATGATGCACACACACAGACACACATATCACACACAACTTGGACTTGAGTTGTTGTATACAGGGGGAGATATTGGAGCTATCATTACTTTGTTCATTAGTATTTCAGAGGAATCCAGCTGACAAGTTTTAATGGGGGTTTGAGACATGAAACCACGCTATTGGAGGAAAACATTTAAAAATAGGGAAAGAGGGGAGGTAAAACATCAAGAGACACATGTGGGAGACAGTTAAATTTCCATGGTGATGCACCATAGACCGGCTCTAAACATTACAAAAAAAGATGAAAAACAATAGCTTTGGCATTCAAAAAAGAGAGTCAATGTGAGCCTGGGGGGAAATAACACTGTCCAAAGCCGTCTGGTGCAGATCAATTGTTTTTCCTGTGGTGGAAGGTCTCAGCTGAGGCACCTTAAGAGAACAGAGCGCAGCACATGACGCCGTCTCTCCTTCTCTGGTTCTTTACCTTAAGGAGATCTATCTCTTTGATGCAATCTTGCCGAGCTTTGGCATCCATCAAGTCGAATATCTATCAAGAGATCAAAAGGAGAGAGAGGGGGGGGAGAGAGGACAGAGGGTGTTATGACATATTCAAGAAATGGTAAGATTGAGAAACAGAGTGAAAATAGGAAAAACACTAAACAGGAAACATGGTTGGTGTTATCTAGAGGGTGGCGTTGGAGTGACTACAGGTGTTTAACATCTGAGAAACACACACATAACATTGGTAACATTTGTGTGAGGTGTGTGTAAAGAGTGTGTCTATTTGTGTGTGTGCTCAACTTGAGCACCTTATCCTCCTGTGGCCCGTTTCTGAAAGCAGGTTTAGTGTAAAACCTTAGTCTGTACCCTGATGAGGGAAACTTTGGGTTTTCCGTTTCTGAAAGGGAGGTTACTTAAACCTGAGAAATAGAGGTAACTCCAGCCCGTTCCAATAACAGAGGTAACTTAAGCCCTGGGTTAGTTACTATGGTAACTGCATCTGTGAACCTAACCTGATAGGAGCAGGTATTCTTCAATTAACCCAGAATTTCTCTCAGTCTCGTTCCTCTTACAGAGCCAGAAACACGGTTTCATCCTCATTCATATATTTGGTCCGTATGACGTGTGTTAGCGGAGATTGACCATTTGTCTGAGTAACAATCCAGGTTGTTTTATATAAAGTCTAGTAGGCATAGCTACTTTTTAAAACCAGCCTTTTTTTGTCAAACCTGGCATGTATTTTTTTAGAGGAGCCTTATAGATGAAGAGGCTACATTACTTAGCAGGAAGTTGGTCAACATTTACATCAAAAGAGGATATATAGGCTAGTTATCGTTATCATTTTCAGATGACATTTGAGCTTAACTGTTTTTCTTTAAAAATCTGCATAATCTTATCCAGCATCACCTCACCCACCCAGAGCAGTTAATTAAAGACATTTTATTTGGTCCTCTTTACTTCCTTCAAATACAAATAAAGTTTTTTATATTGTTCCAATAATGATAACAATTCACCTAAATAGAACATTGAAATAGACTCTGAGTTATGTTTACTTGGTTTAATATGTAAAATATATACAGTCTACTTTGAACTCTGTATTATATTTCATTTTCAGATGCTTCCAAGTCAGCTTTTCTCCCCCTGGATGCAAATAGGCCTAAATGAGAGTACATTTTATGTATGAATACCATTACAGTTTTTACCAGTGATCTTATAGGTGTGATTAAATATTAAATGATTGACTACATTAAAACTTCTCGAGCATCAATTTTCTCCCACTCCACTTTTATTTGCCCTGCAGCAGCGTTGCTTCTAATTCTAGAGGGGTAGAGTACGAGGACCTCTCTTTGTTACCTGTTGCCATGGTGTATCATAGTACAGGGGCTCCATTAGTGTTGGCATTTTATAGCCGTGGTGCACGTGCTAACCTCCGAGTGAACCTACTCAGAGTTGATTGAACTAAGTCAAGTCAGCTGTTCTGGAACCAGAAACTCTGTGTTTTCCAACTAAGGGTAACTTCACGCAGAGCCCAGGGTTACACTCAGAGTTTGCTTAACCTCCTATTCTGAAACGAACCCCTGGTAGTTTGTATATTTTTGTATAAGTCTTTGAAAACTGTATGTATGACTGTGCATGTTTGTTCTCATGTTCACATTCACTAATGTCATCTTGTGAATACAGATCAATGCTGATTATATACACATACAGTACTATACTTTACCACAACAAAATGATACATAATGCCAGTGCTTGTTGGAGTGTGTGTTGGACAGTGTAGTAGTAGTGGAGAACCATAACCTACAATCTTAGATGTTTTTTTAAGATGTAAACAGTTCATCAGTTTGAATGCATATTCTTGAGTTTATCAAGATGTGTTTGTGTGATGTTCTACTGCTGTAAAATATCCTGTATATAGTTTGAAATATTCAATTAGAGAATATATGAGGTGGTTCATTCATGAGAACCACAAAAGCATGACTATAGATGAAAAATGATGCTACAGACGAGAATGGTTCAACATTTTATACCCTAACCGAACTTGTTATTTAAGTTACACCTCCACTATGTCTTTCTTACCTGGACTTTCTTCAGAGCCACTGACGTGTTGTCTAACAGGTACCTCGCCCGCCACACTTCACTGAACTGTCCACGTCCAATCTTCTTCTCAATCTGGAAGTTTGCAAGCGAGTTATGGCCCATATCTGGTTGCAATGGTTTCTGAAAGGACACAAAACAACTTTGATTACATTCATGCACAGGCACACTTTTTACGATCAAAAAAACAACAACAGATAAACAAGATCTGAAGACATTTTGCTGTTATCGTGTATGTAGCATTAAAGTTCAATAACGACTCGATGAAAGATGATCGGGCTGAAAGATGTGGGTGAAGCTGTGGCGAGCGGAACCAGCTTCAGGTCTTTGTTTTGCTAAGAGGCTGCTGATGATTTGACTGGCATTAGGCTGATGTGTCACACTGAGAGAGGACTGTAGCTGCAGGATCAACTCACTACAACCAATACATGGAGGACAATCATTTTGCTCTGTTATTTAAGACCCATAGGGCACTGCTCAAGTTCTTTGGTCATAATCAATTCGAAAAGTGTGAACTTGCAACCTGATTTACATTTCACAGGCAGCAGGACAGCTTGGCAGAGTTTTTAGGAAGTGTCTGCCCTGCTGGCACCAAATTCCAACTTCTAATCCAACACAGTTAGCTTATAAAAAAAAAAGATATTTCAAATGTTCTTTTGTTAATTCAACTTTGTTTTGATGTCTTATGGATACCTACATGACTGTTATTTGTGGGGTGTACCAATTTCTGACCTCCTTTAAGGAGAGATAAAAACCTGTTTCCTTACAGTGACGGATAAAATATCTTCCTGCATAAAAACAGGCAGCTTATCTTCCCATCTAACTTTCTTTTGAAGTTCACTAGAAGAGAGAGTGATTTTCTTTCCTTTGTCTGCCAAGTTACATCACTGATAGTCTGGCACTGGGCCACAGACTACAGGACTCCCCGCTTCTCCTCGCCACATGACTGGCTGTGTAGGCTGAGACACTAACCTTCCACAATTAAAAAAACAAAAACAAAGTCAAAAATAAACCAGAATGAGCCCCTTGGACATAAAGTGTGAAAAAAAGCACGGAGCAGGCTGCTTGACCTTTCAAGCCTTTTGGTAAACTTGTACGAGGCGTCTGCGGGAGCAAACAGAAGGTGACAGATATCAGAATGCCACATGTCACCAGCGCTTCTGCCAATGTGGCGGTGGGAGCAGCTCGGGGGCAAGTGACTTAGGACAGAGGGAAGGAAGACAAAAAGGAGGAGAAGGTCAATAATTCATCTTCCAAGCACTTAAACTGCATCACATTCATGGTTACTCTGGTCTTCATGGTCTAACTGCTTCTTACGTCTTTTGCAGTTTGTAAGCGTTACCAAGAGCAAATATCTGAGACTGTGCAGAATTCTCAAGGACTGACATGTCATCTGTGAAAACAACAATCTAACCAATCCAAAAGAAACTGAAATCATAAAACCACCAGTGTGATTAGACTGCAACTAGTGACAATTAGAAACATTTACTGTGTGTGTAAAGCTTCCATCAGTAAGATACATTGTTTTCATTACTTAGTTAATTGCAACCAACCAGTAACATTTAGGCTGAATGATGTTGAGCAAGATCCAACACATTGGTATGTTAGAAAGGACAGTAGTATTTGCTCTTTCTTAGGAGGTTATGTGTTTTTTTATTGTTTTTAGGAACGCGATGTTTATTTGTTTACCAGGTCATTGAATGTGTTCTTAATCTATAATATCTTGGTATGGCAGCCTGAAAATAAAGGCTAGAAGCAAGTTTAAAATCTATAGCTCAAAGAAAAGGTTTCAGAGTTCCTCTTTCAAGTTTAATGGTAGTAAAAACTCCTTCTCAGTCCAACACAGATTTGAAATTTCTGCATTTCATAGTTTTATTAACAAATGTAAAGACATAAAGAAAGCCCAACTTATAGGTATGGTAGGGCAGTGTGGATGGGGGAACTATTCATTATTTTTCAAGTTTGAAGTTGACTTCTGAAGGCGTGAGCCAATTAGATGCCTTGTCCAATTAACACTTAACACCGTTGAGGTGTGTACATTTTTTCAGCATGACACCACCATCATCCCATGCTGTCTGAGAATCACTCTGGCAGAGAGCATAACACACTGCTCCACAGCCCATTGTTCACCATTACAGCAGGTTTCAAAAAGATGCTAAACGTCTTTGCCAATACATATGGCACCTCTAAATGCATTTCCAATAACCACATTTTGTTTGGCTGTAGACTTAAAATAAAAAAAGAACTTTCATACTGGCAAAATGAAAATCTACAAAAAGAGCTCAGAGGGTGGCACTGAAGGCGTGACCGTATTTTGCAATAAAGAATCTGTGCAGTCTTAAGAGTGACAGAAGCATTTGTGTAAGGATGAAAAATGTACAGTTTGAGGTGTACATGAGTAAGAGGGAGAGAGAGAGAGAGGACAAGAGGGCATTGCTTTCATTCGCTGCGTGGTAGCTTGACAAATGTTAGCATGAGCCTCTAAAGCGCTGTGACAACCGCCTGCTGAGAGCACAGTCTTGCTAATGTGTCCTGGCATGCCAGCCCCGTAATCACACATTTACATATGCAATGACCTACATTTGCATGTCAGATCGCACACTGTCCGGCATGATTAACAGTGGGCACCTCCCCATGTGGAGTCGCCCTGGGTGGCAGTAGAGGCCATGCGAGGGCGGAATAGAGGGCTGGAGGGAGGGCGGCTTTTTTGGCAGCCAAGGGGCCGGGCTGCCAGGCAGGATTATGTCAGCCGGCGGCCCCGGCATTAGACACTTCATTAGAGGTAATCTGTTTAGCAGTGGGCAGTGTATGTAAACTTCACAGGCCATTTGCGGCACCTCTTCGCCCCCTGGCCTGGCCTTCAAAGGGCAGCCAGGCCAAGGCTGACTGACAGGCTGTCTCATCTGCCGCACACGGGTGTCACACAATCAGGGGCTCCCAGCTGAAGCACAAGGGCCCAACAAACACACACACACACGCACCCACGCAAATGCACACACACTTCCATTTTTAAAAGGAAGTCACAGAGGAGTGACCCTGAATGACGTATGGGTCAGTGTCTGAACAAACTGGGAGGAAAAGGTTGAAGACTACAGCTTGTAAGGATCTAAACATGCATTATAAATATTATAGATAAAGTGCTGCCTAGTGTTCCTTTCAATATAAGAGCTGTACACATGTCACAAGGGACACATGTTGGACTCCGTCTCTGAGTGTCCATTCTTTTAAAAAAAGGAAATAAGCAATTCAGACTTGAAAAGAAGAGGTAACATATCATAAACATAAATTTAACGATATACTGTATACTTTTTTTTTTTTTAAAAAGGCCAACAGTGTTTGGCCCATTGATTATTACTTCCATAATACAGAATTTCACCATCTTTGATGTATATTTCTGTGCTTTCCATGTGGTTCGCTTTCTCTTTTCACTCAACACTCTGGTTGGTGATGGGGACAAGCTGTAGGGGATGGGGATTAAGTGGCAGCCATGCAAGGCATTATGGGAAATGTCTGTGAGGGACAGTGTGTCTTGGGTATAAAGGTGACATACAAGCGCCATGGGCGAGTCACTAGCAGGGGGGATTGAAAGAGAGAGAAGATGAGAGCGAGAGACAGAGGGAGAGCAGACAGACAACTCGTTGGAGGGCGTATGATACGGGCTGCCCAGTAATGACACCGTTGCCAAACACAACTGACAAGACACATGGAGAGCGGAAAAGAGAATGTGGAAGAAACGGAGAGAGAGAGGGACGGGGGGTGGGAGACAAGCAACAGAGGGGAGAGGGTGTGATGTGACAGCCCAGCAGTGCCAACGGCTGCCACTGAAAGGCCAGCGGCGGCACAGAGGTGCCGTCTCCCATGGAGAGAAAAAGGAAGGGATGCAGAAACAGAGAGAGAGAGAGAAGACCAGGACATGTCCATCCTTTACCAGCCACAATAAAAAAAAATCTCTTTAGTTTGGCACACTGCCCACAACGAACCAGGCATCCTTTAATCACTTAATTTAGATCTTAATAAAGCAGATTACATGATATCACTGCTTTCGTTAGCTGTATTTGTGTTTGTCAGATGATTATGCATACACAAAGCAATGCATTGAGTGCTTTTCAAACTTTTTTTTTGAGAAACCACTACAGCTACAATCACTCATTTGTGCCCACACATTTCTAGCTTGTTGAATTTTCAGACTAAGAAGAATCAAAAATTTGTAAAATATTTGATTTCAAGTCAAGTTGAATCAGATCCCAAAACAGGTTTTATCAGCTCAGACCCAGCCAAACAAGAGTACTGTGTTTCCCCCCCTGCTATCTAGATGTCGCCTGTGATGCAGAGTTTTGTTCATTTGCTGTATTAACAACAAGATAAGGATTTTAATTTTTGTTTCGTTTGTTATTGTTCTAGCATTTTCCTAAGAACAGGGATCTACATGAAACAGAAGACGAAAAAACTCAAGTGTCGACACATGTGAAAAGTGCAAGTCGATTACAGTGGATGTAGTCTCCAAGAGAGACAGGAAGGGATACAAGTATAGAGACAGAGAGGAACTGGCAGGCAGGGGGGCTCCCTCTCCTACCCTAACCAGTCACCTGCCCCCTTGAGCGGGGTACCATGCAATATTCATCCTCAGCCAGTCAGCCAGTGAGCCAGCCAGGCAGTCAAACCGGCAGGATTCACCCCAAAGGTGCTGCTCGTTTTTCTCCTCTCAATCTGCTCCACAACAGCACCGCCTTGTCTCATCGCTTACAGACAGATCCATGTCTGTCAAACTCTGCAGCGACTATCAAAATCTGATCTGAGGGGGCCTCATCACCAACCCTCCCACTCACTCAAAGAGCAAATGCGCCATTAAAAATGCACATCTTACTAGCTCATCTCGTTTACCTAATGCATATGCATCATACCTCGGGGACCAAGAGAAATGATATTGCAAGCGATACAGAATATTCTTCATCAGATATACAATTCAGATTTCTCCAGGAGATGGCTGGTGCTTTTTTTTCCTCCCCTTGCTCGCATGAAGACTGAACCTTGGGAAAGTGTGAGGAAGATACAGGACTTGTTGAAAGACATCCATCTGGATGCTGGTTAGACAGCCATCTTCATACTCTGACTGACTCGCTATATCTCCCACTAAATGTGAAATCCATTCAGACATTCTCTGTGAGAGTGAAAATACCTGATGCAACACGGAAAGTTCCCTGTGCTACCAATAAACTAAGCACAGAGAGTGGGCCTGGAATTAACACTGATGTAAACTGCTAGAAATAGATGGAAAAACAGAGAGAGAGAAATCATTAAGCCTGAACAATAACACATAATCAACTGTTGGGAGATCAGCAGAAGATCTAGTGTCTATGTGTGTATGCGTGGGGGTGTTGCCTAAGTGAAATTAATCATTAGAGCTTTTATCTGACTTTCTTCTGTGGGCAACCCAATTATCTTTAATTTTGCAATTACACATCTTAGGATAAATTAACCCCCTTGGCAATTGTGTGAATGTTGCAGTGCCCTTGCATACACAAGAAAAACAACAACTGAGAGTAAAGACCTATTTTTAGTGTTGTTTCTCTCTCTGAAAAAAAAAATCCAAATTTACTCAGGGGCATAAGGATGATCCTCTTTGTTTAAAGTCTATTCAATAGTTATGGAGGCAAAAACATCCTTCTGGAAAGAAATCAATGGGCCTGATGTTGGAGGGCGGTATTAAAATCCAACAGTGACCAGATCTGCGCATAGCAAACCTGAGGTGTATCGAACCGAGAGAGGCATAGAGGGAGGCCAGGCTCTGTCAGCCTCTAGAGCTCTGATCAATAGAAACAACTCAACATTCATCCTCTGCTGTCTATCTCTCACACACACACACACACACACACACACACACACACACACACACACACACACAGGCTTCAGTGGTCTGAAGGATGCTCGAACCTGCACATTTTGACTGGCACACGGAAGTAGGGTCATACAGAATATCTACAATTCAAAATTTGAAAAAGGAGGTATAGTATTATTGGAATAAATGAATAAATGTGTTGTATGGTCATTATTTATTTAAATGTCCGCCCTTTCACTGGAGCTATGGGGAAGCATTTTTCAATATCATAACCCTTACTCATTTCTACAAAACCACTCGCATTACTTAACATTGTGACATGTCTGTTAAAAGAACTTACTGGAATGCAAACCCTCAAACGTGTCAGGAACCCAGCATTAATAACAAAATAAGACATTTGAACAACACATCGAAAATCGTAAAGAAAGACAAGAAGGTGGGCAGAAGGTCGTGAAATAGGCTATATCATTCAGGCTTAACAGTTATTATCCTGCAAAGAGAGTAAACAAAACACTGAAGCCTTCTACCCTTTGTACTATAAGATATCAAATTATGCATACTTACTGCTTTCAATTATGTTTCATAGTCTTTTTTATAAGCCCTATACTGCTCCATATACCGCCGGAGATGCAGCTGAAATATAACGTCTTAAAGTGTCAGAAGCACCATATAGGATTAATAATTCATTTAAGGAGAAAACGGGGGGTTCTTATATTCAAATCTATTGTGCACTAAGATATTGTAAGCTTTAATTTCGCACATTCATGGTTGGATTTTCTGCCTGCATTTGCTGCTGCAGCCGGTTTTTTATTTTGCATTATGTATTTAACCTCTTTATATATTTTTTATATCACAGTTTGCTCTGACTTTGTAAAATATGATGATCTGCTGATGGAAGACTTGTCTATGATAGGGAAAGCTTGGGTCTGTTGAACACGGTTGGTAAGCCCCCCCTCTCCCTCCAGCAAGTGACAAGAAAGTCGCAAGCAATCTGACCTCGCTGTTCAGACTTCATATTAAAAAAGATCCGAACTGTATCTGATTTGGATCAACATATGAAAGTGGCCCAATTCTCATTAGAAAAGTTTAGTGTGCTATACCTAATGTCGTAAAAAAAAAAAAAAAAGATCTGATCTGAATGAGTGAGGAGCCGAAAAATCTGATTCAGGTCACTTTTACCTGCAGTGTGAACACTGCCCAAATGACCGGTCAGCTTGTGAACATGCTGCCATATATGCCATGAATTGTCAAATAGACAAGCAAATCCACAGAAAATAGGAATAAAACATCACATAACTCTAACTACATGGCGTAGATTTGATAGAGTATTCAGACATGCCTGAGTAAAATTGCTATCTAATGTTTAAAAACTCTTTTTGAGACAATTTAAGATGTTAAATTTCAAAAAACGTCCACGGGAAATCTGCTGTTGTGTCAGAAAACTATGTTTACATCACGACACAACTAGCCAATACATTTGAAGAAAACAGAATTTATGTATTTTGTATGTATTTGGCAACATTTTCTTAACATGTTTTAAATTCAAAGTGGTTTGGAACCAAGCCCCACAGGTCTTGGGGTCCATGATACTTATACTTTACAACCCTTGTCGGCAGTTTTATAAGTGTTTGGTGTTTGGTGTGTGTGTGTGTGTGTGTGTGTGTGTGTGTGTACCTGGGGTTGAAAGACGGGCACGGCTGCTTGCTGTCCCTGAGGCTGCGTGTCCATATCCATGGTGTTAGGCGCTTGATCCTTTGCACCTCTGAGAATCAAGCACACAAAACACAAGCAGTGGTTAGCTGTCTAAATGTTAACTATCATACCGAACACTAATCAGTCATTCTTGTTAAAAAAAAAACATACTTTAAAAACTTCAAGAATTAACTCAAACAACCAGACAACTGTCCTCTGTTTTTCAGAACCAAACTATCCAGTGCTAGTTGCTGCCTGACTGAGTGTCCTGTTTCAGCAGAACTGGATCCTACGTCACGCCTGTGGATTTGACACTCTTTGTTTCGGTCCCTCTCAAGTTGCAGCGTGGCAGAAGTACAGCAGGCAGCGATATTAATCTGAACAAAGATGAGAGAATACCATTCTGTTTTTCTTTGGCATTCCTCCAAGGAACCTTTCCTGGGAATTACTGGTTATACCACCATTTAAGCAGCTCCACGTCTTTTTCTGTTTTCTGAGAAAATATAGGTCACACAGAGGTGAGTGTGTTTGGTATGGGTGTATGCCACAGAGCTGTTTAATTGCATGTTCTGGCATGTAGCCTAGAAACAAGCTAATTGCACAAGATACTCCACCACTAGTTGCTTGGCTTATCACCATAGTTAAAACAGGCATTGCCATAATGTGAAATGTTACCTGAATGAATAATTTACACCAATATTTGAACAAGTATGATGCAAAGATTATATTCACACATGCAATTAGCTTATGTTCTGGAGCCTCCACTCAGCTCATGTAAGTGGGAAGAAATCTGATTTTGACAGATGCGCTGTGATTACTCCCAGTACACTCTGCAATGAACATAATATGGTTACATAGTCCGACAATTAACACCAATTTACTTTTAATTCATGCAAGATATTATATGCAGGTAATAGCGTCGTCCACTATTCATATGTGAGATGAGGTATTGCACGCATGCAATTGTATGTCTGCTGTGCAGTACACAAAATTAAACTAAGAATATGTGAGCACATATATTTGTCGGGATAGAAGACTGGCAGGTGAACACATGCAAACACAGTGAGCTTTTAAAAAATGTTTTAAATTTGTATTCCTGGAAAGCAATAGTGGTCAAAAGTAAACAAGAAACAGATGATTTGTTTAAAAAAAAAAAAAGAAGTCCTGACTTTTAATTAATAAGAACACCATAAGAGGTAAAAGGGAAAATGACTTCTGGTTTGTCTACTAATCCAGATTTCACTGCAGAGATTAAGGACTCAACCATTATCAGTTTTCTCTTTCTATGTTTTATTTACATCTGAAAAAAATCACCTGGTACAAGAGGAGAACGAACAAAAAAGGACCTGTCTCTCTGCTTGTGTCCTCATTCACTTTAGGCCAATGATGCTAATTAGGCATCTGCCAAATAGACATACAAGGCACAGTAAGTGCATGTTTGTATGTGTGTTGAGGGGCCGTACTATGTGCATGTAAGCAGGCATGTATAAGTTTGTGCATGAACAGGCAAGTATTTTGCATAAACTGTGGTTGTTTATTTTAGATGAGTTCAGCCTTTTTTTCCCCCAGCCGTTCACTGGCCTTCATGAGAGCTTTGAAGATCATTAAAATGTTTGCACAATACTATTTCTCCTGGGATTTCATTGACTACTGTATATTGAGAATATTATTATCTTAAATTAACATTCAAACAAGCTTAAATCAATTCAAATGTAAGATACTCAGAAAATTATTTTAAAAAGCACCCACTGCTGGAGGCAAAAAGGCAAACTAGAGGAACATTTTTAAATAGTCTATTCTGAATCTTTGGGGTCATGTTTTCAATTTAATAAAAAAAAAGAAAAATCTTTGCCAGAAATGGCTATGACTCCTGTAATGGTTTAACTCTGGTTTGGCTGCCAAAATCCCATCATGCTCATGTTCACGCACCTCTGACGTTTCCATGACCAGCAGTAACAGGATCTTTGAGAGCGCGGTCACACAATGTTGTTGTACCATGCTTAAGCACACTGGCCTGAATACAATGTATAAAGGGGACAGGACCATAGCCGGGGAAATGTAGCTCACACTGGAAGAATTTGGATATTTAAATGTAATGACTGAGTTGACTGTTATAACTGGATATAATGCCAGTGGTGATCAAAGATTTATCATAAAAGGTCCAAATGAATGAATATTATTTTAAAAAGACAGTCAATATAATTAAAAATATATTCAAGCTCATCCAAGCTCCCTGACGTTCTTTTGCCTCCCACATCCCATGTTAACGAGATCAATTAAGACTGCCACGTTGGATTAACGCACGCTGGAATAAAGCACAATTAACGACGCTAACTCAATCAAACGAGGCGAGGTCACACTCTCGGGGCTCTCACTCACAACGCAGTGCGCAAAGGCTTGTCCTAGTGACTGGAGGAATCAAACACACAGATTGATTTAAACTTTCATCACGTGAACCTTAAATCTGCTAAATCTCTCGCTCCCTGAACCCTGCCCCACAGTTTCTCTGATAGTCTCTGATCCACTAAAGGTCCTCTCATCACAGTGAGGAATTTTAGACTTGTAGAAACATTTGGTATAGGCACAAAGCAGCAGAAACTCAAGGTGCCAGTCTGCCTGCTTTCTGTCATGGGAACAAGAATGTTGGCTTGCAAACTGGCTAGGACACTGCCAACAGTTGGGGTGCAGTAGCTAAAAAGCTAAATCCCCCCACTGTTCATAGATGCATGTCTGTGATTCTTTCTGAGCTTTGGTCTGAGACAGCTGCAAATGTACAACAGAGAATCAATGCAAGCTAACTAATACACTATTTGATCATAGTGATTATCTTCAATCATATTAGAAACATTTAAAGTGTTCACTTTTTCACACTGACTCATGATTAAATGCGTCTGGTGGCGTCACGTACTTGTAAATGATTAAAATTGTACTTAAAAACTTAGACAAATTATCCACAACCCCCATGATCATATCCATTCCAATAAGGATTTCAGGAGTGATGGATTTTTTGCAGATAAAAATTGGCTAGATTTTCAGCATGTGAGCTAGCAAGAACACCATTAATCTCCCTGATGAACTGATGGTTGTTTTTCTTTTGGGGAATGTGAAAAAAAGTTCCCCGCTCAGACCACCAACCACTCAGTGTAAACAAACCCGGTTTTCTGACTGTGTTCCATCTAATGTGAGACTGCAGGCTGACATTCTCACAGCAGGCCCAATCACACATAGGTAATTATACAGTACAGGAGGGAAGAGAGAAACAATCTGGCAGAACAAGAGGAGGAAAGAGAAGGATATTAACTATTCAGCAGTCTTCTTTGTTCTCACATTTCCAGCACACTTCTCATCTGTTTATTTGCTTCTTTTCTTTTACTTCCACTTACCTGAGATACATTAGCATCTCACCTTCTTCTATCATAAATATTTTAAATCTTTGGTTTCTTTTTTGCTTTATGTTATCATGACACATGCTAAATCGTCCATTTTACTTGTATTAAACTCTGAACCTTTTCTTTAACAAGAAATAGACTGTTGGAACAACATTGTAAGTGCCCGATTTAGCCAATTCTTGATTGTTCAAAAAAAATATGGACCATAAATGTTCTGATTAAATTACGCCAAGAAAACTTGCTTCCAGTGTGCCACCTTCTTTATTTGTCTTTGCTGCCACAGAATTGTGACACATCATTTCCATAATCAGTATAATGACAATCTTTTGCTCCGCCTTAAAGAATAGCCCTAAAAAGGATGTAAAAAAAATGATCTTGAAGCAAACTGGTTGACGACAAGTCATTCAATGTCGATACGAAAGAGAAAATCTACGGTCAACTGCGGCAAAAGTGAGTTGGACAAGGCATAAGCGAGGAAGGCACAGCAGGGGTGGAGTATAGGACAGAGTGGGACAGATGCAGAAGTGAGGGGAAAAAATGTCAGAAGAGAAAAAAAAGGAGCTTGTTAGCCCTGATGTGTTCATGGTCCTTTGAGAGACGGTTTGGAGCTGTGCACCAGCACCACAGAAGTTGGCACTGGCTTTAGCTTCTCTTTAATCCCCATTTCCTCTCTTCTGCATTATTCATTTAGAACAGGAGAAGAGAAAAAACAAAGAGAGCGAGCCGATTATGAAAAGGTGGATCAAGGCAGACTGGGGGGGATGAATGGGGAAGTAAAGGGGAAAGGTCCTGGAATTAAGCAGCCCTGAAGAGAAGAGCTCAGCTCGGTCTGAGGACAATAAATATGAACACAGACTGATGAGCTTGGGTCTAAGAAGAGAAAAGAGAAGGGGCAAAAGGAGGTGGAGAGAGGGGTTGTGGGGGAGTTAAAAAAGCAGAAAGGAAAAACATAATGTGACACTATCCGGCCCGAGTGTAGGATGTGAGGGAATCAAAGGCACCTTTGAGGAGCCAGAAGACGACAGTGAAAGTGCTAGAAGAGTGGTGTCCATGATTACAAGAAGTAGGGAAATCTTTGAGTCTGTGCTCATGAAAGCCCACCCCGGGCCTCGTCTGAAACCCCTGCTCGACTTAAACCGATGATACACAGAGAGAAAAAACGCAGAGAGAGGAAGAGAAGCGCTAATGATGGAGGGGTCCAGCTACTACTGAAGCAGGGCACTCTGCAATTCATTTTAATCACTATTCAAAATCATTAGCCCGAATGCGCGAGTACTCCCGTTTGGTGGACCACGAGCCGAGAGAGAGAGAGAGAGAGGGAGAGAGAGGACCGAATACACCTCAGCATGTGAGCCGCTCTTTGAGTTCTTTGAATAAGACAGTCCAAGACTTGATGGAATAGGAAATGAAGACGAAACTTTATTGTTCCGCAATCTAAAAGAAGAGAAACACAATTTGAAGAAGAAGCGAGAAACCTTTGAAAAGAAGCTTTATGAAGTCAGCCAAACACACTTCAGAGTCAAATCATTTAAACTTTGTCCATTCACCGAATCTGGGAACAAAAGTACTAAGTTAATCAGGACGTAGCTCAGGATGAGAATATTACAGGACCTCAATAAGTCTGACAGACGACCCAAATAACAACACTACAAAGAATATTTACATTTCAACCGGCAGAATG